CATTCAGAATTAGCTTTAATGAAATATATTCGATTCAGTCTATCATTTTCATTTTCTGCTGCTGATTCTGTCATTTTTAAAACAAGCACCTACAACTGGGTGGGGCACCATAGAAGAAACATGATAAATAAACAATACCATTTCAGCACACAAGCTTATACACCAGAAAGTAGGGTAGAAACTGCTCCCTCGCCCCAAGATCCACCATCTCCACGTGTGCCTGGCCGAACAGGCCACACCTCCCAGCTTCCCTTGGGCAGCTATGCCACGTGACAGAGCTCTTGGGGTGGGCGCCGAGGTGAGTGCTACTCCCGGGCCTGGCTGCTAAGACCCTGACTGCCTCATGCTCTTTCTCTTTCCCCTTCTCCTGGCTGGATGGACTTCATGACAAGCCCTAGGGGATGGTGGAACTTCCAACAGAAATGCAGTTAGTATGTTTTTGTTTTTTTCTGGTCATTAACAAGCAACAGTTGAAGTCTTTCTGTAGTGAACAAACATAATACAGCAGACTTTAATATTGTCTCCTATTAGTTAAAAACGGCTTATCTAACCTAGCAGCAGCTCTGCCTAACGTTTCTTTCAAAGCTGGAGGATTATATGTTGTTTGAGTGTCATGGTGTTGTCAAATTAAGTAAACGATACAGAACAGTGTAACAGTGGCTCTTAACAAGGTGAGAGACTCGCAAAAGAAAAGAATACTCACAAGGTCTGAGAAGAACAGAATGAATCAGAGAAAAGAAAAGAATACTCACAAGGTCTGAGAAGAACAGAATGAATCAGAGTACTCAGAATGTTACAAACCCAGTAGTTTATTTCAAAGTATAAATTTCAGGCTTGCTGGACAAAATCCCACTACAGTTAACACTTTACAGACACCACTCTATTGTACATTTAAAAAAGAAAAAAAAAAAAAACCCACAAAAACCTTCAAAACCTAATAAAAATAGGGCAACTTGCTACAGCCCAGTTTCTATTAGACATCAGAAGGTCTTACATTGTCTTATTATTTACACTTTCAACTGTAAAAAGAAATATTAGGATGCAAGTTTCCTACAAAGGAATTATTTTGAAATGGCTGATAAAATTCTAAAGCCAGGATTCTCCAAATGATGTCTGATTGCCCAGTTACCTTATTTACAAAAAAAAAAATTTTTTAAGATAGCAATTAAATATAAAGAGTGGGTATTTGTCTCTACAAGTTAAAAAAAAAAAAAAAAAGAACAACAAACTTAGCATGATAAACCTGAAGATGAGAAGACAAAACACGTGTTTGTATCATTCTATTCCTCCCCATTGGCTGGCTCAAGGGAAATAGGTTTTTGGAATTGGATAAACCTGCCACACTAACGAAACACTTTACAGGAATTGTTCTAACCTTTTTTGTTTGTCCTAAAATTTTCAGAAAGGGGAGGGGCCATCATTTACCCAGTAGAGAGTAAGGCAGGCAGAATTATACACTGACTTTAGATAGAGTTATCTGCAATAATCTAATACTGGGACATGGTCTTTCTGGAAATCAGAATAAAACAGGCCAATGACTGGTCAACGATAAGGCTAAAATAATGAATAAATCACAGGATATTGAAATAGCCCAACAAGGAAAGTCTGGGAGAACATTTGGAAGTCTTTGCAGTAACGTACTGTGCCAATATCACAGTGTATACAAGTGAGAGAGGAGGATAACACAGACATTATTCTGTTAATCTTGTACAGTACTGAAAAATTTGTGGAACAAGATAAATGCATATCATGCAATATTAACACCTTGCTGCATAAACAATAATTTGGAAAATATAAGCAAAAGTGCAAACAAACAAACAAAAACCACGTTAACACTTATCGGCTACAGGAAGAGAACTGTATGGTGCAGCCTGCCTAAGGAGTTCTGCTGACAGGTGGTCCTAAGCTCCTTGTTTGAGGTCATTTTATTCAGTCAAACTTTTCATTTCTTATCTGGCAATGGGGGTTGGGACAGTGGGGAACACATGTCTGTGAGGCAAATGGCATCCCAACAAACATTCACTTTTCAAGGACGCAAGCTCTGTTCTTCACTTCTCTCATAAACTTTGACTGTGTTAAATAGCACACAGTATTCTGCATGTTTTAAAAAGTGAGTCAAGAAATAGAGGGATATAGTTACCTCATAAAGTTACCTGTTACCAACAGATGTCTTTGTATATACTTTATAAATGTACTGGCAAGAATATTATTTTAAAATGTGAGGCTTACTCACACTTAAAATTGGGTGAAAATTACTCTGACAAAGTGCAAAGTAGACAGTAACAAATATCACCATTACCTTTAAACGTCATATAAACACCCTATATTTCAGGTTGAAGTATCAGAAGTTTCCAGGATTTCCAATAAGGCAATACTTACACAAGTATTGTCAGGCTAAAAACGTAGCAAACTCGCATTCCCAAAATGGGATTATTAAGCTTATTTGTAATACTCTGTGAAAAGATACTGTGAAATTAAAAAAGGTACCATGAAGTGTGAATTGCTATTAAAAAATATGTAACCAGTAGCTATTTCTAGTTGAGTCCTCCATTCTCTGTCTCTAAAGAAACAAATCAAACAAAAAGAAAGCTCTCTTCAACATTAAAAAACCTGCCTGAAATAAAAACCTAGAGTTCAAATCTAGCACCCATCAGTAACTCCAACATAGTTGTTGCCTATAAATCCTGTGGCAGACTAATTGAAACAAACCATCTTATAGTATCTTTTCCCTCAAATAATTACAATCTCTCTTTGTATCTTCCCTCCACCACTTGGAATAAAAAGTTTTATTTTACTGTAGTAAATCTATTTTTTAGGGTTACTATTTAAGTTATTTCTTTTTTCTCTGACAGAAATCACACAGTATAGGTCAAAATAATATTTTCATGCTACTGGGCTTTCTTCACCTGATTATATAATGCTATGAAAGCTTTAAAAAAAAAAGGATTAGTAAACATAAAGTACTCACCAAGGGAAGCTTTCTAAGCTAGGTAAGCAAATTATCACATGACCATAAAACCGGTCAATAAAGAACAATTTTGAACATGGGCTTTCTATTCTGTCGACTGAAATGATCTTCAACACGTAATCAACACTGCAACCACTGCAGGTAAAAACATATGTACATGCAGATATAAGACAGGTGCTCACATACATCTAGAAGATCATCAATTTCTCCCTTTAAAATTTTTCATTGGCATGACATTGGCAATTTCTTTACCATCATCATTAGACCCACAATGAGTAACGCCTACATAGTTGGTTGGCAAATATGCCTCATGGAAATTTTAATTCTCATTGTGGTCTATTTTCTGAAAGCAAAAGGAAGATTTTGGAGCATTTACTTTTGGCAATCTGTAGGCTTTCCTCAGCATCGATCAAACTTCACATTCAACGTGACAGTACAGTGACCAGTAAAAGTCTAAAGAGAGTTTCTTTACAACTAGAATGTTTCCTGTTACAAGCCATTGAAGTTGCAAACAAAGAAGCATTAATATGGAAATGACAGTTCCCTCTTTTAAGTCCAGAATAAATTAATGACTAACTTATTTAAGAAGGCAGGAATATGATTTCAAACATAATATGGAAGATGGCTTGAAAATGTATTCCACAAACTCCATAAATTCCTTTCCAAGCATCGCCAACCCCACTCTCATCCCCCAAATTACGCCAGCTCTCCTGTCTTAAGCTACCTACACTCCAACACGTACCTGATACCAGTATAACTGGCACTCAAATAGAAAATCCATGACCAAAGTTTGATTAAAACTTTGAAGAGGAACAGAGATGCACAGAAGTTGTAAAGTCACTTCTTACATAAATGACCCCAAAGGATATACTTTAAACCCTATCCAGAGCTGACATATGGTGAATCAGATAAAACTTAGCACCATCAAAAGAAAAGATTAATACAGGAAGAATGATATGAAGATAAAGAAGAAAAGGAGCTCTCCCTTTGATAGTTTAGCTCACTGTATTTTGTGATTTTTACTATTTACTTTCTTTGAAAGAATATTATGGGTTATAAGGTATACTTTGGGTGATAAGGTAAACTAGAATTGCTTTCATAATCTCTAAGACAGTGTGCAACATAGATACTAAAATATATTTGAAGGGAAATTGGCTTACACAATGTAGTCTTCTTTTGGTTCACTTTACACAGAGTTAAATAGTGACCAGAAATAAAAAGCATTAATTTTCTTGGAAGAAAAGAGCAAGTTAAATGTAACGATGTCACTACATAGAAAAGCCTTGGTCTAAAATTTACTTGAGGGAAATGTGCTACATTTGGTGGAGAAAAAGGAGAAATGATGATGAAAGGTTGACAAGAGAAGAGTAAACCACAATGGAAAAATGGCCCTGTTTACTTTTGCAGTTAATCTTTAAGGCACAAAAATAAATGGAAAAAATCTCAGATTAGAAAAGGGAGGGCCCACTGCACATCTTTCTCATCGAACTGACAACCCAGAAAAGACAAAAGAAAATATGAAAAGATCTTTTCCTGTGTTCAAATTAACCTATTTTAAACTATTTGACCATTTTGCTTTTTATTTTTTCTTTGGGTTTCATTTAGAGTCAGTTTAAATCATCTATCTATAAACCTACAGATCACGTAGAAGCAGAATCATGCCAGATACATACCTCAAATCCTTTGATCTACTTACTTCACACTGGAAGAGAGGTAAATTTGAGAATGAAAATGGGAGATTCCACTGTAATAAACATATAAATACAGAAAAGCACACACCACACATATACCCCAGCCTCAAAACTAAAGCAAGGTGCACATTTACATTTCAAAACCTTGAAGCCTGAATTGTTCAGGAAAAGATTTTGCTTTATGGGCTGAGTTTATTCTGATTATAAACAAATGTAGTGTATATACACATCGGTCCAAGAAATCTTGCACAATGTGCATTTTACAATGGGTATCATGCACAAGATTAAAACAAGACCAAAAAGTAGAGCTCTGAAAGAGGAAGAGGGAAAGGCTCCAAGGTTTAACTGCTCTGCGAAGAAGAGATCACATCCGTTGACTGAGGGTCACAGAAAGGCCCAAAACGCCCGTAAATGTCCTTGGCTCGCACTGCAAAGTAGTACTTGCTGCCAGACACGAACTGGGTGAGAGTGCACGCCATGGGCAGGGGGAGCGCCTTGACTTCGCCAATCTTCTTCCACTGTGAGGGGACAGTGGCACTGGGCTCCTCGTGGTATGCGTACAGGTGGTAGCTGTCAACGGTGGCGCAGCTCCTGTCCACCTCCAGAACACTCCAGGACAGTACAATGCCATTTTGACTCTGAACTCGTGCTAACTTCAAGTGAGGCTTCTGAGGCAGAGACGTGCTGGCAGCTTCAGGGGGCAGGCGCTGTGGCTGCGGGGCTTCCGGTAAGGGCGCTGGGTGCACAGGGCGCGGGGGCTCCTAATGAAAGGAGAGTCACGTTGATGGGTGATGATCAGAGCAAGGACTGCGTCTTAAAGTGAGGGCTACAACGTCCTCGAAATCACTTACTTTTAGAGAGTCTTCATTTTACATCAAGAATACTGGGAAATAGCAAATATCACACATCTGGCAAGTTCTCCCTGATGATTTGTAACCAGTCACGACCCAGAAGATGAGTGTTGAGATTATTCCCTCTGTGCTTTTTGGGTCTGAGATACTGAGTTTTCCTTGAGAAACAAAAGCCCTGGCTGATCGAACATTATCTTGACAGAAACTGAAATAATCATCTACTTCTGATAAAATAATTAATGATTTAATGATCTATACCACAGGCCCTTGTTTCAATATAACATATTTTTTCATAACATGTGTTGGCAGTCTAGAAATCATCTAAGATTTGAGTATCTACTTTCATTTTCAGACTGTTTCTTCATAAAAAGACAGCAGCATATTTTTATAAGTATGTACATATAACACTGACTGTATATTATGTTCTTGGTCAGTCTGCATGAAAAAAGTGACATTTATACCAGACTGTGAGAGAGAGAATTTAGAAATGTAGAAATAGTTGTGAATCTTTCTGCTAATAGGTAAAAGCATGAACCAGGGCATGGGGATAGGCAAGTGAGGGGACTTATGGGCAAAAACACGGAGACTGTGAAGAACACACAAATTTGGAAAGGTAAGTTAAGGCCAGATAATGAAAAAGCAAGAATACTAAGCTTACAAACTGACCTAATGCTGGACATTATATCATCTAGGTTTTAAGATTACAATGATAACAGTTTTTTCAAAAAGATTTAAGTAAGAGCCAGGAAACAGAGATATAAGTGGTCTTCCCGCCCCCCCCCCCCAAGTGAAACATTATTGCTCAATGACTTTAGTTTGGAAGTCATGAAAAAAATGAGATTTCCTTAACTGAAATTCATTTAACAAAATTATGTTTTAATATGCATTTCATTAAATGAATAATTTGCATACACTAAATAGGGAATTCTGTGAAGATCTGATAACTTCTAAATCTCCCTGCCTTTTCAAAGTTCAGTGCTAATAATGTGCACATAGTAACAACTCAGAAAAGGATCTGCCAAATAATCTCAAGGAATGAAAATATGCTGAAATTCACATGCGAAGTGGAAAAAAATTCATATACACATCTGGAAAAAAGCATAATCCACAGTTTAAAAGCTAAAATAAATACAAAGTTAGAGGGGGGGGGAAAGCAAATGCAAATACATGAAACATCGAAAGCTGAAGAAAAACAGATTTGAATACTGGCCATCTTACTGTATTACTTTTCTCAAATTAAGTAAATAACATTAAAAAAACATACAACTAGTAAGATCTAAGAGAAGGCGGCTGAAGTCATGAATTTGACTGGAGAGAGTAGGAATTTAAGGAGTATGATAATAGCTTACAGCCTATAACAGCCCTAATTCTTAAAATTTGAGGCTACAGAACCCTCTTATATCTCAAAACAGTTAAGTCAACTGAGTTACTGTTCTGTTTCTGCCACTGCAATGGAGGTTTCTATTGAAGTTTTAGAGATAATATATCAGGGATTTGCTTCAAAATATTCCAGTGCATACACAGGTTGTGGGAGTTTGTGGGTGGCAATACAGATGAAAGAAGACTGGCTGTGACTGCTGAAGACTGATAACTACTGAAGACAGGTGATGGGTACGTGGGGATTGCTATACTAGTGTTTCTACTTTTATAAATATTTGAAAATTCCCAGTTAAAAATATTATTAAAATTAAATTAAAAGAATGTTTCTCCTATGAGATACTGCTGCTGCTGCTGCTGCTGCTTAGTCGCTTCAGTCATGTCCGACTCTGTGTGACCCCATAGATGGCAGCCCACCAGGCTCTGCCATCCCTGGGATTCTCCAGGCAAGAACACTGGAGTGGGTTGCCATTTCCTTCTCCAATGCATGACAGTGAAAAGTGAAAGTCGCTTAGTCATGTCCTACTCTTCGCGACCCCATGGACTGCAGCCTACCAGGATCTTAAGTCCATGGGATTTTCCAGGCAAGAGTACTGGAGTAGGCTGCCATTGCTTTCTCCGAAGAGATACAATGTATTAAGACAATTCATATGGAATCCTGTTTTAAAAAAAGCTCTGATGGATCATCCCATTTGCAAAACTGTGACATAAATAAGAGATTTTTACTATATATTTCTCGAAGGAATATGGGATGAAGTAAGTTATTTGTAGTTGCAAACAACAGTAATGAGATATTTGCCACAGATCCTACAGGGCTAGATCTGAAGCACTGTGACAACATGCTGGAGATGCTGGGACCAGAAAATCTGAGTTTTAAAATGGCTCTGCCTCTGACACTAGTTTGGTAATGACATTGAGTAATCACTTAATATCTCTAAGACACAGTAGCCTCTTCTATCAAATGGAGAATATTGATTCTCAAGGGCTTCCCTGGTGGCTCAGATGGTAAAGAATCTGCCTGCAATGCAGGAGACCTGGGTTTGATCCCTGGGTTGAGAAGATCCCCTGCAGGAGGGCATGGCAACCCACTCCAGTATTCTTGCCTGGAGAACCCCCATGGACAGAGGAACCTGGCAGGCTATAGTCTATGGGGTCACAAAGAATCGGACACAACTGAGTGACTAAGCACACAGCAGGGTTTGGAGGAGTAAATAAAATAATACAAGCAAAATAGTAGAGTGTCTCATATATGTGAAGTGCTCCATTAATGTGACGTTTTTTTTCACTGCAGTGGGACAGTAAAATAACAGCTGCTAAGAGCACAGGCTCTGGAACTGGAATGCACTGGGTTTTGTGAGGTATGACCTAGGGCTGGTTACTCAACCACTCTGCACATTAGCGGCCATATTGATAATAAAGGATAAAAAAAGGAAAGCTAGAGTTCTAAAGAATTTCTATGTAAGGACCACATAAATTAACAGTGCCTGGTGCATAGAAAGCACTGCAGAAACTTAGCCATTATTAGGTACATTTTAAAAAGGATGCTTTGCTTGGTAAAAAGTATATCAGCCTCAATCTCCTACCACCATTAGAGCCAGCATTTCCATTCACATACTCTATCATACCAAATACTATTACAGTCAGGTCACAGGATAATGTGACATTGATTTGGAGACTAAAACTAAGGAGAAATCTTTGGTTTTCTCTATTATCTCTTAACCAATGAATTCCTAATACTATTGGATGATCAAAAGTACTAAGTGATAAGTCAGAGAAAGACAAATGTTATATGATATCACATAGATGTGAAATCCAAAAAATAACACAAATGGACTTCTTTACAGAACAGAAACAGGTTCACAGACACATAAAATAGTTATGGTTACCAAAGGAGACGGGAAGGGGTAAATTAGGAGTATGGGATTACCAGATACACATCACTGTGTATAAAATAGGTAATCAAGGATTTACTCTACAGCACAGGCAGCTCCATTCAGTATCTTATAATAACCTATAACGGAAAAGATCTAAAGCTGTACCCCTGAAACTACAATACTGTAGATAAACTACAGCTAAATTAAAAAAAACTTTTTTAATTAAAAGTTTAAAATAAAACCAATAACATGATAGCAATGTAACAGAACTAGTATAAAATTCTGAGGAAAAGAATAAAATTAAACATGCAACAATATTTCTTAAAATATTCAATATTTCAAAAAATATTCACTACTCAAGAATGCTCTCTTTAACCTAACCATAAGTTTAACATGGTCTATTTCACTTCTCATGCCCCAGACGTGGACTCTTTTTATATGCTGCACACCACCACAAGCAAACTCTATACTAACCAACCATCATTACCCAGAAGTGTTTCTGGGTAATGGTGATAGATCTAATGGTAAGATCTACTTTCTTCAATAAACATCTGCTGGAAAAACAGAAGACCTGTTATTTTCTTTTGATATAACTAGTTTAAAGAAAAAGTACCAACTGCAGTGGTATCTGACAGCTTTATAGGTGAGAATTTTGTGAAGCCAAGGGTCCACACTTACAGTATGCACTTGTGGTGGTCGGTGATGCACTGTGAGCTGAGGTCCCGTTGATCCCAGGGTTAATCCATTGTTTACAACATATGTAGTTGCTTGAGGCACTCGAACTGTAACACCTATAAAAGAAAATGAAGTGATTGAATCAGAGTTCTATTCTAAATTTGGTAGAACACTGAATTAAACATTTAAAAATCAGTAAAGCGATGCTTGTAAAATTCAAAAGGAAAAATATATCTAACCTAGAAGGCTACACTCAGCTAAAGTATCATTTGAGCATGAGGATAAAGAAATTCTCACATATGCAAGCTACCAAAATAAACAGTCTACCTCCATGAACTTTTCTTCAAGTAGCCACACGAGAGACAAGATCAACAGACAACAGGAGACACAGTGAACAGGACCCAGCATAGGGAAGAAAGAAATGCAATCCCTGCCCAAATCCCAGCGCACTGAAACACTGGAGGTACACAGAACACAGGAGGCAAATAGGTCAGAATGGAGCACTGTGACTCTAAAGATAGAAAACACGAAGCTCTCTTCACAAAGATCTCTGCTGCCTCCAGAACAGGCAAGCTAATCTTGCCTCATTTTAACAAGGTTCCTCTCTTCCTTTCCATGCCCTGCTAATCAGCTGAGGATACTCATTTCATCCAACAGAAAACTCTTTATACAGACATCAGGGCAATAAAAGCAGAAAATTTAGAAGCAGACTTCCTCGGTGTTACAGTGCATAAGAATTCGCCTGCCAATGCAGAGGACACGGCTTTGACCCCTGGTCTGGGAAGATCCCACATGCCATGGGGCAACTACTGAGACTGTGCTTTAGGGTCCAGCCTACTTGACAGCTGCACCCACTGAAGCCAGAGCCCCGAGAGCCTGCACTGCACAGGTCACCGCAGTGTGAAGGCTGAACACCACGGCTAGAGAGTAGCCCCTGTTCCCCTCAACTACAGAAAGCTCATGTGCAGCAATGAAGACCCAGTGTGACCAAAAATAAAATAAGTTTTCTTAATTAAAAAAAAGGAGAAAATTTAGAAGCCACTCATCGCCCAACCATATTTCTGCCATGTATCCGGTACTGTGGGTACCTTGCCAGGGGCGAGCCCTGTTTCCCAGAATTCATTGAAGACACCGCTGACTGATTTCCCCAGAGAAAGCTCTTGTAAGCTGGAGAAAGCTAAAGCCAGAATGTGAACTAGAGACTCTGTTTAGTTTATTTTCTCCTATAGCCATCACCTAATAATGGCATGACTGAAGTTTCAGTAAATAGCTGGATTTGTCCCTGCTTGTTAAGTTTTGCAAAACTCAATATTTTTAGTGATACCTATAGAGATTGCAAAACCATACAGAAAAACAGAAGTAAGTAAGGGTGATGGTTACCTCTGATGGAAAGGGAGAAGGATGCAATTAAGAGCGGGCATACATAGACTTTTGGATTCTGATGAAGTCCTATTTCTTAGCCTAGTGGAGAGTTCATATGTGGTTCACTTTGCTATTTTTCTTTATGCTTTAAATATATCCTTTATAGAAACGTGTTTGTATATTTTGCAACTGAAAACATGTATATTTCATATATATATGTATACACACACACACACACACACACACATGGAAATTACAATTTACCTTAAACATTTTCCCATCTTTTATTTCTCAGCCACCTTCCATACCTTTAAGACTCTCATTGGAGGCTATCCTTTACCATTATCTCCATCTGGGCTAAGTCACAATTGACCACTCCCACTTTAACTAGGCAAGTTGTCTCTAAAGTACTGTACAGACCAACATCAAATCAAGTAGGCCATAAATAATTAAACTGAAGACAACACACAGAACACAAATTAGATACCAGTCCATTTTTTTCTGGTTAACTCTCCTAAGAAAAGAAAATGAATGAATAATAGTTTTAGTATGATACTGAACACTTTTTGCTGCATCTAACATCAATATAAGCCACTCCAATTACATGCAAAAGAACAACATAAATAGGAAAAGGGTCTCTTACTGTTTTGGGGATTGACCTGCCGAACAGCAGGAGCCTGCATAACAGTTCCTCGCAGGGGAGCCTGAGCTGTTGGTGCAGGGAGGGTTGTATAAACCACCTGGTGGTTTGCAGGAGCTCTAGGTACAGGGAGTCTTGTGGTCACCTGAGTTACTGGACGATGTGTTACATTCACGGTGGTTGGAGCTAATGAAAAGCAGAAAAATAGATTTAAGATGCAGTCAATTCTATGTTAAGTAAGCAATATTAAATGATAATTCACTTTATACAAAATCCAATTTACTGTAATAGACAAGAGTCTCCTTTTGTAATCATGAAAAAGTTAAGAATGACAGGGTCAACCAAGGTTAGTATTATTAGTACAATCCAAGTTTCAGAAGGAAAGTACACCTCGACCATGTCCAAGGCCCTTCCCACTCTAGTCTGTCTAGATAAATAAGCATGTGAAGATGAAGAAAGGGTTTAGATTTTGGGGAGTATGATCTTATATATATATATTTCCCTTCCTCAATGTTAAATTATTCTTAGCAGAGTGGAATTTTAGGCCCTCCAGGCCTTCTACCGATGGGTATAAATCCAAAAGAGTAACTTGTGGTCCCATAGTTCAAAAAACTGATTGGCTATTATAACTGACAAGTTTTTCAGATGAGTCAAATCACCTATTCTAAACAATAAAATTTTAATGGTTATCTTCTGACAGTAGTGTTAGGCTAGTTAAAACAATTTTTAGTTAAGAATCACTGAAAAACTCTTGTTTGATCAATTATAACATCTTGGTTATAATTAGAATGAATCATTATATTCATCTGTTCCAGAGAAACTATATTCATTTCTGCTGTTTACACTGTTAGATGACAAAGACATACATAGTTAACTCTTCTTTATAACCATTCTGTATCAGTGCTGCTAGTTAAAAGACTATCTGCAAAATTAAGTCACACTGTATTCAAAAACACACATTGTCTTCAAAATGACAATGGGAATACTCCAATACAATTTTTTAAAAAATGAAAAATAACAATGAAGATTATTCTTAATTTTCTAATCTTTAAAAAAATATTTATAGCTTTTATAACTTATTACTAACATAATTAGGGTTAAAATCAAGTTCATCTCAAGGGAGTGTGAAGAAAAGGACAAAATATCTGCAAAAGACATTAACTGATAAAGGACTCATCCAAAACATACACAGAACTCCTAGAATTCAACAGTAAGAAAATGTACAACCCAATTAAAAAGTACACAAAGGATGTGAACAGACACCTCACCAAAGATGATGAACAGATGGCAAAGAAGCACAGGAAAAGCTGCTCAACATAATATATCATCAGGGAGATGCAAATCAAATAACAATGAGATTCTACTATCCCTATTAGAATGGTGAAAATCTAAAACCCTAACAATACCAAATGCTGGTAAGGATGTGGAGCAACAACAGTTCCTTCCTCACACTCACTGCTGGTAAAAATGCAAACTGGTACAGCCACTTTACTCTGGCAGTTTCTGCAAAACCACATTCTTCCTGTATGATCCAGTAATCACATCCATTGGTACTTACCTAAATGAGCTAATTTTCCGTCTAACCTTTCCACTCAGTTTCACAGTCATATTTCACAACAGGCCAAACTATAAGTTTCAGCTCAGTAATTCAGCAAGTTTACCTGTAGGTAGTAAGTGTATCGTTGTCTGAGATGGTCCACTTGTTGGCACTCCAGATGGCTGAAGAGGCGGTGCTGGCTGGATGGGTTGCAATGGTCGAGATAAAGGCTGAGAAGAACTCATGGTTGACACAGGGGTATGATTTACCTTTTTAGGGTCTGTTAATTAAAAGTGAGGCAATATGATTAATGATAGAAAAATATTAGATATACAAGTTTATCTTTGCCATTCATTTGCATTTTACCACTAAGAGAACAATTTCACTGTATTTTAATTAAGTGTACTTCTGCCAATGTGAAAACCAAGTCAGAACCTTAAATAATTCACTGTTGGTTCTACCACAGATTTTAAATCACATTTAAAGAAAATATAGTTGCAATTCTTTTTTTTTAATGAAAAGAATCCTACTTCTAACTTAATACAACAAGCTTAAGGCTTTAGCAGCAGCTACTTTAATATCTGAGTGTTGATGAAGACAATGCACATTAGACGGGAGACTTTATTAAGTAACAATGGTGGGGCAATGGAGAGAGATTCTAAGAGGCAGGGGTGCTACAAAGGGAAATGGCATGAGTACAGATGACAAACTTTTATTTTACTTTTTTATCCAAAACCAGCCCTATCTGTGTCCTCTTACAAATAACCAGGATTTACTTTTGTGCTCTAGGAAATTTCTTTCAGATCTTTAAGATCTGTGTATTAAAAAAATAGTAAAAGCAATACAGAAAATTTGAAATGTTTAAACAGTAATCAGACAGGCATGAATTCAACCCCAACATATGATGACATAAATCTTCCAATTTTACATCAGTTTTTACAAAAAAACCTGACCTTAATGTCACATAATGAACTGTATAGCTACTTAATTTTGTTTTTCTAAAACCAACTGAACTATCTTATTCCCTAAAATATAATTTCTTAAAATCTTTAATATTTTTTAAAAAATTAATGTCTGATCCTACTAGATTTTTCACATGCATTATATAATTACCACCACAAAGTTTTACAGATATGTCTATGAGCAAAGTTATTTTGTACAGTCAAATAAGTTTGAGAAATACTCTATCGCTTGAATCATTCTTGGAGATTTACACTGTAAATCAGCACAGTAAAGGTTCAGAGATATCTGTATTAAGGAAAAAAACCCATATAATTTTAACTCAGCATTTCCCAAGCGTATTTAACCATGAACGTTTTTACTTACATAACACCTATTAACACTGTAGAAGAATAACTTGGAATTATCAGTCATCAGCTAACCAATATAATTTCTAAATATTATAACTCAGAATAATACTGAGAATTCTGGGTATATGTGCTTTTTAACAATATCTTGATTTAACACCTATGTTAAAGTACACATATACACATATGGAAAAAACGTTTAAAGTCTAAAGACCTAGATTTAATTCATACTCTGAATCTATCCTGAATTCTAAAATGGGCATTACAGGGTTATGGTAAGGATCAAGTGAAATAACAGCTATAAAAAGAGAAGTATTCCATAGTTAAATATTTCCTTAGTTGCTCTGTTTTCCTTTATGCTTTGTTAATTTTCTCCCAAGATTTGACTTCTATTTTTTACTTCTAATCTTAAAAACTCTTTTTAAAAAGGACACAAACAATGCTGTCAAGATCTGTACTCACTAAGTATAATGAGTTAAGAGAGAAAAATGTTACTAAAGCATTCCTTAGTATGATTACTTATATTTAAGTACCTTGTAAAGCTCCACTCTCTTCATCATCCATTGTGAGATCAATGACACCACCTGAATCGCTGCTTGTGGCTTTTCCACTCTAAAAAACAAAACATGTGCATTTTGCTATGGGAACTCTGGTAGGCATAAGGAAAATAAACTGATACTGAGGGGAAGTAATGATAATGCATAGCCTGGTTCAATCCGGACCCCTAAACGACTTTACCTAGAGAGTGTTTGTCAGATAAATGACCCAAGGATCCTCATGGGTCAAATATCTGCCACATACAAAAAAAAGAAAGAAATCTTTCACAACATATTATTTTCTTTTTTAATTATACTGTCAATTACATAGAGCTATTAGAGTGACTATCAAGTGCTTTAAGTGATTAACTGTAAACATGATTCATTTCTAATATTAAAATGTTGACCAAATCTATACTAAATTATCAACATTAATTCACAAGAAGACCAAAGGCAACTTTAAAGCCAGAATTAGGTTACATAAAATAATCTATTTTTCTCCCTAAAGAATGGTATGGTATCATAGGATGTAATACGCTATAATCAGATGACATCCAATTTGACCAAAGTCAACTCATTGTCCAAAATTATTATAAATGTAGTTAAAAAAAATTTCTAAACTATATAATGGCAACAAAAAAAGGAAAGCAGTACAACATAGACCTAAAGAGCCAAGATCTTCAAGTCAAAAAGAATGACTGAATCTTTTAGTTCCAACATTTACAATTTATGTGAACTTATGTTAAAATGTCATTTTTTTAATTTCAAAAAATTGGATATGAAGTCTATTATAAGGGTTAATACAAAAAGCTTAACACCAGGCATGACACACAATAACCGCTCTATAAATGCTAATCATAATTACTTTATGGTATATTTACAGTCATGTCAACTCCAAACGATTAAGGTTTTCATCTACAATACTAAAGCTTTACAAAGTTAAAGAAAATGATCTCTTGATGTTAGATATACAGGCCAAACCCAAAGACCATGATGTAACTCTAAATCTTACAATTATAAACCTCTTCTATGATAATGACTTCACAGAAAATGACTTGTTAACAAACATCACAAATCTGTAAAACCCAAACTGAAAAGTTCTTAACAAACCTTTTGAAGAACATAACAGAATCCACTTGCTACAACAGATCTATAAAATCCACCTGTCAAACTAAGGTCCACTTTTAAAATTAAATTTTAAATTCATCAAAAATTACTAGAACAACAGGCAAAGACTAGTAAAGTAGAACCCAACTAGAAATAAAAGATAGTCAATAAAAATAACTCCAAGTGGAGCCAGATGTTGAATTTAGCAGACTTCAAAGCAGCTGTTAAAAATATATTCCAAGAATTACTAGAACAAATAATCCTAAAACTTATGTGGGATCACAAAAGACCCAAAATTGCCAAAACAATCCTGGGAGAATAGAACAAAACTGGAGGTCTAACACTCCCAACATCAAGAATACAACAAAGCTATCGCAATGAAAACAACATGGTGTTGGTATAAGAACAGACATGGATCAATGGATCAAAACAAAGCGCCCAGAAACAAACCCACACACCTATGGTCAACTAATCTTTGACAAAGGAGGCACAAATCTTTGACAAAGGAGGCACAAAAGACAGTCCCTTCAGCAAGTTGGGAAAGCTGTACAGCCACATGTCTATCAATGATGCTGGAACATGCCCTCACACTATACACAAAAGTAAACTGAAAATGGCTAAAGACTTAAATATATAAGACATGACACCATAAAGCTCCCAGATGAGAATGTGGGCAAAACTTTCTCTGACATAAATCACAGCAATGCTTTCTTAGGTCAGTTTTCCAAGGCAATAGAAATAAAAACAAAAATAAACAAATGAGACCTAAAAAAACTCATAAGCTTTTTGCATAGCAAAGGAAACCATAAACAAAAAGACAACCTACAGACTGGGAGGAAATACTTGCAAACAACACAACTGATAAGGGCTTAATTTTCAAAATATATGAACAGGGTATACAAATCAATAACTAAAAAACAAATAGCCCAATAAAAAAATGGGCAGAAGACTTAAACAGACATTTCTCCAAAGAAGATGGTCAAGAGGCACATAAAATGATGCTAACACAGCTAATTACCAGAGAAATGCAAATCAAAACTACAAGAAAGTATCATCTCAAACTGGTCAGAAGGATCATCATTGAAAAGTCTACCAACAATAAATGCTTGAGAGTGTGTGGAGAAAAGGGTACCCTCCTACACTGTTGGTGAAAATGTAAATTACTGATGCAACCACTATGGAGGAAAAATAGAGGTTCCTTAAAAAACTTAAACGAGAGTTACCACTTGATCCAAACATCTCATTGCTGGGCACAGATCCAGAGAAAACTCTTAATTCAAAAAGATACATGCACCCCAATGTTCACAGCAGCACGAGTTACAACAGCTGAGATATGAAAGCAACCTAAATGTCTATTGACAGATAAATAGATAAAGATGTCTCTCTTACACACACACACACACACACACACACACACACACACGGAATATTAATCAGCCACAAAAAAGAATGGACCCAAGGATTATCATACTAAGTGAAGAAAGTCAGAAAGATACATGATATCACTTACACACGGAATCTAAAATATACAAATGGATTCACTTATAAAACAGAAACAGACTCATAGACATAGAAAACAAACTAGAGGTTACCAAAGGGGAAAAGGCAGGGAGGGATAAATTAAGAGTCTGGAATTAGCAGATACAAACTACTATATATAAAATAGAAAACAGTAAGATTCTACTACATATCTAAGGGACCTATATTCAATATCTTCTAATAATCTGTAATGAAACTATATTCAATATCTTCTAATAACCTGTAATGAAAAAGAATATATACATATGTGTAACTGAATCACTTTGCTGTATACCACAATCTAACACACTGTAAATCAATTATACTTCAATTTTTTAAGGACAACAGAAAAGTTAAGAGTATTAAAAAATCAACACAAAATTAAAGTAGGGGGAAAAGTGCCCAAAAACAAAAAATAGATGATATATTTTTTAAATTATCAACCTAAAATCAACCATATCACTGACTAAACAAAAGAAACAAAATGAAATTTCCTATCAATATTAGGGACTGTCAGATGAAATAACACATCAAAAAATCAAGAAATAACTAGTTTTTTCCTCCTAGATACTCACTTTAAATACAAATACACACACTGAAAAAAACTGCTTTAATTACATTAATGTTAGAGAAGATACAAAGAGTAAATCTTATAAAGATAAAAGGGTCAATTTGTCTATTTCTTTTTATTGTTTTAATGTTCTATTATAAGGTGCATATTTTTCTATAGTGTATAATCTATAATAGGAAGAAAGGTCTATAATCAGTGAGCTAATTTACTGAACTGTATTTTTATTTATCCTAACTTGACTGATAAAATTCATCTATTATCACATACTACAGTAGTCTCCTGTTTCTATTTTCTTAAGAAATAAAATCTAATTATTTCAATAATTATTAACAGCAAATAAAAGATAGTCATGACAGCTGGAACTATATCCATCAGGCTCCATGGTCAGTGTTCTACATTCACTAACAAATTTCATCCACAATAATCTGTGGTTGAGATCAGCATTAGCCATATTTTATAGGTAAGAAATCAAATCCGAGATTTAGATAACGTATTCAAGCCTTACCTATTACAGTTGCCAGACTGTCTGACTCTAGAGCTTATTATTTCTATGTCACTAGGTTCATATTTTTCTGCCATCAATTCTGAGAAAACCTATGTAAAGAGACATTACATGCCTATATCTGCATTTATACAAATTACTGAAGTTCTGAAACTGCTAAAAAACATCTTGTGTCAAGTAGGTTTTAATACTAAGAATTTATTTTATTAAAAAGTTATTTAATCATGTGTCCCCCTAAATTACCACTCTCATCATATGAACACTAAGAAAATTTCAAGAAGGCAAAGATATTGGCTTTGTAGGGTATTTCTTTTTTGTACTAAAATAATAAGATCATATCTTAAAGGCAATAACAAAGAATATATTTGAAAGGCTAGAATAGGGCACTTCAACAACTGCAGAGAATGCCAGTACAGAAGACCAGGCTGTTCACTCCACAATCTCTCCAAAGGAACTTGGGAACTACCTTAAGGTTTGGTTGGCTACCAAAGATGTGGCCCTTAGAAAGTTTACATAAATTATTGATAATTTTCTTATGTTCCTTAAACACCTTAAACAATGAACTGCGTCATACTGGCTTATCAAGGTTGATCTGCACAAACACCAAGGCTGATGATGCACACCTGGATTCACTGCTGGGAGTCCTGCATTGTGACTGCCATAGCCGGTTACACAGAAGGCAGCAGTGGTCCAATCAGCTCAGGCCGTGACACTCAGTCAGGCTTACCAGGGCAAAGACTTGTCACTTGTTCCTTAAGGTAATAACCAGAGAGAAAGCCCCTCCTGTGCAGTGCTGGTTAGGGAAGAACATGGAAGCCTCAGCCTGACCACACTTGATCCCACTTGATGCGTATTTTTTTCCCTGCTGGTTTGGTTCTCTATTTTTTGCTGTGATAAACCATAACCGTGATAAACCATAACCATTATATAACCTGTCACAGGTTTTATGAGCCCTTCTAGCAAATCAGCAAAATTGAGGAGGATCTCAAGTCCCTCCAAACAGTAATATAAAACTACAGATGCAGCAGAAAATGATTTCTACACTGTTTTACAACATATGATGGTAGTTTTAATAAATAATGTTTTACCACATAAAATATATTAGTAATGTACTACAGGAAATGAGATCTATGAAAAAAATAATAACAATTATATGGAATATGCTAATAAGTGCTTATTTGAAAGACATTAGAGAAATCTTCATTCAAGGACTACAAAAAGAGAATATTTTATATCTTTAATTATTTTCTCATTAGCTATGTCTGAACAACTATCATTTCCATACATGCCATCTAGATTCCTTCTAAATTATGATAGTCTTACAAGTGTTCAGAAGTAAAACTAAATAAGACTTGGCATAGAAAAAAGAAGTTATCTGAGTGGTTAGAAAGCTAAGAGTGTAAAGAATCATACATAGGCTACCTATTTCACACCAGATTCTATTTGCTACCAAGTAACATACAGGGTAAAAAGCTAACAGCAATTTCTTAACATATGCTCAAAAAAAAAACTGTAGTGTTACATTATCAAAGTATTTCTGCACAATAAAAATTTTATCTATAACCCAAAAAGCCAATAAAGCATCAATTTATAACAAGCAGCACATATATATTTCCATAATAATTTCTTATTATATAATAAAACTTGCATATTATATTTACTATTTAAATCCATAACTGGAACTCATTCAAACCTTTGATCAGACATGACTTTAACAGATTAGCTGCCTAGTCATGCTACTTGTGTTTTTCATACAATGGTAGTGAATTACTATTCCTGTAAGCCAAATAAAATATCCATTGAAAGAACTTCCTGCTGGTCCAGTGGCTAAGACTCCATGCTCCCAATGCACGGGGCCCAGGTTCAATCCCTGGTCAGGGAAGTAAGATCCCACATGCCACAGCTAAGACCTGATACAGTCAAATAAATTTATTAAATAAGAAGAATTTTTTAAAAAATTCTTTGAGAACTTAGAATTTGGTTGTACAGTCTCTTTGCTAATCTGATGCAGTAACTTACTATTTCAGGTGTCTTTTTGGATCTACTGGTACAAGTTGCTTCATCAAAATAAAAGTTATATAATACAATGTAAACTAAAATAGTTACAAATTCTAAAACTTGTGAAGTGGTAATACATGTTTTAGACTTTCTAAAACATAATAAGTAGCTGAGTATGACTAGATTTTATATTATTTTATTTTTTTAATTTAAAAAGAATATTTTTAAGTAAAGAATTTTAAAGTATGGCAAACTTTTATATCAATTTTAATTTCACTGAAATGTTTACAATATTACATATACTTTATTTCAGCAACCTAATATAACTTTAAAAAATTTTTTTATTTTGTATAGCCAATTTGTATAGACAATTTTTTTATTTTGTATAGCCAATTAACAATGTTATATGCCAGTCTCAGTGGACAGCAAAGGGATTTAGCCATACATGTACATGTACCATTCTCCCCCAATTCCTCTCCCATCCAGGCTGCCATATAACATCAGAATATAACTTATTGCAATGATGAAAATATTCCATATCCTTGTTTTCCAAGATGGTAGTTACTATCTATATGTGGCTTTTGAGCTTTGAAATGGGGCTACTGTGATAGAGGAAGTCAATTTTTTATTTAAGGCTAAATTAAATCCATTTTCATTTAAATAGCCTACATGTGATTAGTGGCTACCACATTAGACAGCACAACTCTAGAAGAATCACCATTTATAACAAGAAAAAAACACAGCCATTACAGTGTCCATCTTCCTCTCCTAAAACATTACTAGTAGGTCCAAACAAACAAGAAAAAAGTTACTGAGAGAAATGAGGATGTTTGTAATTTCTTTGTTTAGCTTTAGTTTTACTTTATAAAGTAAAGCTAGACTTGCTATAAATGTTACAGAAAAGTCACTGAATATATCGATGTTTCCTATACTACATGCCTTCCAAAAAAGTACTCCATATACATTTAATTAAAAACATAGCTACAAGACATTCTCAGAAACAATCAGAACTTTGACCTTTACTATCATATAAAAAGCCTGCTAAAATTTGTAAGAAATAAAATATTTCTAATAGCTTTAGTTTGATCTATACAGCATGGTGTATATCTATCTTTGGTCAAAAATCCATCATTTTAAAGATGAATAGTCAAAATTAAAGATCACTATGCCCTTGTTTTAAAACTCACACCATTTATTCAAGCCTGACTTATTCAAGATTTTTTCTCTCACTAGGAAAATATATGAGTTTCTAGATATGATTAAGAGGAAGGGAAGAAATTAGACCATCAAACATGCAATGACTTCCCTATGAATCTATTACACCTAAAGCAATGTAGAAAAAGAATCGTGATGAACTTTATTAATACAGGAAAAATGGAGTTACTCCACTCCTGGGTGACTTAAATTTAACATGAAAAAGTACCAAGGATGACAAAATACTAACAAGCTATCAGAAAAACCAAAATTTTCTTTCCATAAAGCTGTTTCTGATCAGCTCTGAACAAACTAAAATGGTGTCTCTGTGTGTGTTGGCAATGGCAGGACAGAGGATGGGGAGGAGTGGGGAGAGGAATAAACCAGTGAGACCTTCTTAAAAAGATCGGCCAGGAAGAAATTACATGTGGAGACTAAAACTTCACACTGTATGAAAGAAAATTACTAGACTGCCAGTTATATATAATCCAATATCACTAAGAGAATTACTAATCAAAAAATTCAATTCTTGTCAAACAACACAAAGAAGCTGTTTGAAAAATTTTGGACAGTTGTAAAAAACAGACTTGGAATAATTTTCATTTTATCAAATATCAATAGAAATCCATTCTTTCATTTCGAAACAGTAGGACACATCTTACCTGTGATGTGCTATCAGCTGCTTTCTTATTAACAGAAGCATCTACTGTTTTGTTTGTCTGGTTTTCTAAGGAGTCAAAAAACAAAACAAAGAGCTATTTTTAAAGGAACCTACAAAATGTGAAAGGATAGGTTTCTTTATATACAACAATTCACGTTAATTTTCTCCAATAGTTTTTTGTCTGTCAACATGTCACGTATGTAAATTACTCTCTCATAGACCAATGCTACAAATCTTGCAGAAGGACAAATTGATACTAGAAATCCAAACACTTCATATACTCATTAAACAGAAATTTTAACTCTAACCAAAGGAATATTGCAGGGAAGCAATTTAAGATGTGTATAACCTAAATGCTATAACACGAAAAGTTAAATAAAATATAATCCTTCCATACTACACACCTCTGGAGAAAAAAATTTACTAACATGGCAAAAATGTAATAAATTCACTAGAAAAATAAAGTGATCCTGATGAAACATACATGCATAATCTCAACAGCTCAATCACAGATGATTTTCCTTTATTCATTTTTCAATAAACTTGTATTGAATTTATACACACACACATACATATAAATTTTGCATGTATGGAACTACAACTATATAGTTGTATAAAAGATAGCTGAATGAAAAAACAGCACAGAAAAGAAACAAAGGATGTTTTTCTGCCTCAATTTCTAAAGAAAAGGTATTAAGTTTTGTCAAATGTCTTGAGCATCTACTGAGGTGATTAATCAGTTTTTTCTCTTTGGTAACGTGGTCAATTACATTAATAGGAGTTTTCTAATGCTGAAACATCCTATCCACACTTTCTGTCAAAAAAACTTTAGTCAAAATATGACACTCCTTTCATTTGTAAATCTTCATAACATACATACAAAGTAAGTCATTTATCAATATATTTAAAAAGACAAAACCAGAAATGGTAGATAGAATTATTTCTATCTATACATTTAAACAAATGAGGATAAATAGCTACCTGTTAAAAAGAGGGTTTTACAGGCTAGGTAAGTAAAAGGGGCCCTTCCAATTTCTGCCTACCCTATCTGAATTATCTTAGATCTTTGCATAGCAAGAAAATATACATATATACACATATGTACATATGCATGTGTGTGTATATATAACCTAAGGAATCTCCCAGGTATATTTAAGATGTATGTAACTTTAAAAAGACATATACATATCTTTAATATCTTAAAATTTCTTCATTTATAATGAATCAGCTTCATTTCTGGACTGCAAAGTTCTTGAAATACTACTAATAAAGAAAAATTTTTTTAAATAGTACTTCTTAAAAATACTACTTAATAAAAAATAAAAAAAAAAAAAACTAATTCCAGGTTACTGACATGCAGAGTATTAACACACACTCAAGACATTACCAAAGCATAAGCAATTTACTACGAACTTTTAAATATATATATACAGTGTTAGAATACATTCATTTGGATTTAAAAGACATTTTCAAGTGAAAATAAAAGGTAAGTCAAGAAGCAAAGCAGGTGAGGGAGTTTCATTTTTATTTTCTGTTGATTGGTTGGCTGGCTGGTTTCGTTCTAAGTTGTGTCTGACTTTTGCAACCCATGGACTATAGCCCACCAGACTCCTCTGTCCATGGAATTTTCTGTGGAATTATCCTCATACAATTATTCTCAAGATTCAGGAAAGATTTAAACTGATTAATGAAATGTTTTATTTCCACACACACATACACAAATACTAATAAATATGAGAGTTTTCTTATCCAGCATGATTCTTTGACTTAATTGTCTCAGGACACAAAGTTCATTATTCATAAAGCTGTAAAAATATTCTTTATCCTAGATTTTCTATTAACTTCTCCTACCCTTTTATTAGATTGTTGTCTTGATTCTCAATGTAACATTTTATAGTTTCACTGCATCTTTTGTTTTCTTTTACCACTTCAGATGAATTTTGAAAGTAAAAGTTATGAATCAATCTATCAAGCAATAAAATTGGCAGGATATAAAGTCAAAAATTGTACACCAAACTCTATCATATAAGAAACATCTCTGTCTCTTTATTCTTAAAAGATATTGTCACTTTTAACCAACAGTGAATTTTTACCAGCATCATAAAATGGATGTGCATTATGAGCATGTACATTTTACAGGGGTGCATTAGTAGTGTACCTTGGTAGGTGCTGGATAACTGAATGAAAATAAATGGAATGCAAAAACTTTTAAGTCATTTTTCCCACCCTCTCTCTCATCTAGAGCACTCCCAAGAGCCTCTAGTTTCTCTAACTCCATTTTCTCCCCTCCTGTAGCCAGTGTTCCTGGACGTCATACTCCTTCCTCTCTGTAAAAATCCTGTAAAACTCTACTTCCCACCATCTTGCCATTCACTCCATTCTCGTACCTCCCCAGAGCTCCCATATCCTCTGAGAGAAACCTGCATATATTTACACTCATCACATTTATAATTATTTAACATTCAAGTTCCCTATTTGACTATAAGCTTGGTTACAATAGGGACTATTTTGTACATTTCTGTGTGTCTGCATGATTTTAAACAAAACAGACATTCAATGTTTTATGAATGAACGCATGCATGCTAAGTCACTGCAGTCATGTCCGACTCTGTGGGACTCAATGGACAGTAGCCCACCAGGCTCCTCCGTCCACAGGACTCTCCAGGCAAGAATACTGGAGTGGGTAACCATTTCCTTTTATGAATGAATGAGATAAGCTATAATTTGGTCTTTAAATTTCCGAGTAATCCTTAGGACAACTTTTATTTTATACTTTATAAAAAATATTGACTTACTCTATGAAGACATATGTATATAAATATATACAAATGCATGCTGTCTAGTTAATATATTATGCAAATAAAACTTACATAAGCATAGTTTTAAAAAAGTTTTACTTAAATAACAAATTAATTTATCACCTTATGGGTGTATTAATGTTTGGCTTCAGCCTTCATATTCAGCAAAATTTTGCTATTTGACCTTGGCTTAGGTTTTTGCAAGTCTCAATAGATAAATGCCTACTTTCATGCCATTTATGGCATCCTTAAAATTATGCATGATCAGAGAACATATCATCTCATAGGACCTCCTTCTAATTAACATGGCAAACAAAGCCAAGCTTAACGTTAATAGTTTTGGTTAATATCTAATAATTTACTTTCAAATATATGTAAGCATTCCAAATAGAACTCAAAATGAAGATCTCCATAATATAATTTATGTATTAAAGTATATATGTGTTAAATAAATTTTATATATGTTAAAATATAAAGTTTTAAGTATAAATATAAATGTATTATCCTAAAATTATTAATTTTATATACAAAAATAATTAATGACAGTCAAGAAATTAAACAGACTGACATTACAACTAATAAAGCACATTAAGCTAGATAATTTTGGGAAAAATACACCCTTTGGGTCAACAAATGTTCATACAATGTTAACAGGCTAATGAACTGAATTAAAATCCAGATGTGTGTGTGTATGCTCAATCAGGTCCAAGTCTTTGCAACCCTATGGACTGCAGCCCACCAGGCTTCTTTGTCCATGTGATTCTCCTAGCAAGAATACTGGAGTGGGTTGCCATTTCCTCCTCCCAGGGGATTTTTCTGACCCTGGGATCAAAGCTCCGTCTCCTGAGTTGCCTGCATTGACAGGTGGATACTTTACCAATGAGCCACCTGGGAAACTCAGTATAATTCTGATACTGTACAAGTATTTAGGGAACTTGCAATCATAACATTAGACAAAGTAATCTTTCAAGTTATTTACTTCTTTTCAGGCTATGGTCTTTCAGGGAAAGTTCTATATTTAAGAATTCACCTTATTTTGTAACCATGATTTAAAAACAATGTCAACTAAGTTCAAAATTTCATAAAGAAGAAAAACTCCAAAATCACAGAAATCAATGTCCATGATAATCATCTTCCACCTAACATGTTAAAAAATAGTAATGACTGGAAGAAATGTAACCCACCCCCAGAAAATCTTTCTCATTCACTGAACTCAATTAAAAGTAAGCATCTAAGGAATGTTGTGACAGCAGATAATGCTAATAAATCATTACTATACCATGCAAATATTTAGTTTTAAATACTAATAATAACTGTATTTGAAATTTTAATCTTATATCCCAGATGTTAATTGTATGAGGGTGATATTCAGCTTCATTCCAGTATGAATTTTTATCTACCATTCATTTACTCTCTCAGTAACTCTGTGAAACTCTATTTTCTGAGAATATATACTCAGAAGAAAAGTACTCTACTGAAGACCACATAAAAAATTAAAAAAACAAGCCCTGTATGTCTCACTCATAAAAGTTATTTTGTATTTTATAATTTTTTCTTATATTTCAAGGTCAACTATATCAATAGGACAGTTACTACAATTTCACTATATACATGATGCCCAGGTACTCTTTCCTGTCTTTCCAAAAGTAGTGGGGATAAATATAAAATCAGAAATGAAGAATAAGCAAGTTAAAGAATATATATACAATCTATGCTTTCTAAGAACAAGGAAGACAGAGTTCTACAGATTTTAAATTAGGAACAATCAAGTTCTCCTTCTTGCAACACTTCAAAATATATATAAATATACAAACATAATCATGTAAAATATGCCATATGGGAAAATATATAAGAGAAAACAAGAAGCAAGCAAATGTTCTGCAGTAAATTAAAGAGGGAAGACCTAGTATAAAACCATTCAAATTTGGAAGATAGGAGTGAAGAATGCACAAAGGATTTTTCCAAATGGGGTAATGGGCAGGGGCTTCCCTAGTGTCTCAGATGGTACAGAATCTGCCTTCAACGCAGGAGACTCAAGTTTGATCCTTGGGTTGGGAAGATCCCTTGGAGAAGGGAATGGCAACCCACTCTACTATTCTTTCTTTTTAATTCATTTATTTTTTAATTGAAGGATAATTGCTTTACAGAATTTTGTTGGTTTCTGCCAAACATGAACAAAAAATATGGAACACTTCATGAATTTGCATGTCATCCTTGTGCAGGGCCATACTAATCTTCTCTGTGTCATTCTGATTTTAGTATATGTGCTGCCCAAGTGAGCACCACTCCAGTATTCTTACCTGGAGAATTCCATGGACAGAAGAACCTGGCAGGCTACAGTCCATGGGGTCACAAAGAGTCAGACATAGCTGAGCAACTAACACTTTCACTAGAGAAGATGTGTGGTTCTTATTTTCCTCTTATTAGCATATATTACATCACTTAGATATTTTAAAACATACTGTTTTCCATATATTTAGATATATCTGTAAAATGTATTATAAAAGTAATTCATAATGCTTGCTACAAAGCCAAAATTAAAAATTTGCCCAGGTTAGGAAAACTAGTAAAAGATGAATTACAAATGGTAACTTCTTACTCAAAATAAATTCTCAGATCCCACTTTAACAACATCATTTCTCTTAGGTAACTAAAATAGTCTCTGTGAAATTCTATTCACTCTGTCTTCTAATAATATTAGTCAACTACATACACACATACACACACAAATTCAATTATCTACAGACTATTAACAAGCTTGCTTTTCTATTATTAAATCTACATGTTGACTTACCAGTTCTTGTGGTGGTAGTGCTGCTCTGTTCTGCAGGAGATGAAGTACTAAAAGCAGAAATTGGGATTTTCATCTGTATAGGACCTCGATTATTTGATGGACTGTAGAGTCCTGATGGGCCTACTGTAGGTAAAGAAGTCCTTGTGGCCTGGACAATAGAGTGTGCTGTGGGAACAGCCTGGACAGCAAGTGTTGTTCCTAACGGTGCAGCACTGGCAGGAGAATTCCTTTGAATACTAGGACTGGGCACAGAAGGAACGCTGTTTGGTTTCGTGGGGTTTGGCAATGATGGCAAAGACACCGGATTTTTGGTAAGACCACTCACTGTAGGTGGGCTTTGTACAGAAATGAATTCAACGTTGCCTGATGGTTGATTGGTCACTAAAGTCCCTGGATGGCTCTGAAGGAGCTGAGGCTGTGAGGATACAGCAACAGGTACATGTAAAATCACTGGTAAAGACTGTAAAGAGATTGTAGGCTGGGGATTTCCACTAGGCACCTGAGTAGAAGCAACTACTGTAGCTGTGTTGGGTGCAGGAAGAACTGACGTGGCAGTCAGAGAACCTGAAGTCACTGGAGGCTGCAGTTTAGGTTGACTACTGACAACTGTTGGAGGAGTGACGAGACTGGTTGAAGGTACTGTAAAAAAAAGACAGAGAGAGAGAAGTTTCAGTTTAAATAGCTACCTTTATCAGCTAAGATAATATAATACAAATTTGATGTACTGCAATATAAACAGTAGTCTCTCATATCTTTTAATTTGATTTAAATCTTTGAATTCTTAGATTATTTGCAGAATCATTTTTGCAACTACATTTGGTACATTATGAAAATAGCAAATGTTTTATCATTAAGATGGAGGACTGCTAGCTCTGTATCAAGAGCCTCCGAAACTTAGCATACTTACTTCAGAGTAACTAGCTGGAAATACAACTAAAAAACAGTGAAAACTAGGCAAAACTGTAAAGACAAGTTTGAAAGTACATTAAAAATGCCTTAGAACACTGGCAATAAATAAACTCAAATAGAATATCTAGAAAGAGTATCATAAATTCATAATAGTTAAACTTAGTGATGGTATTTTGCCATATGGATAAAGTGAAACCTGTACTTGTGGATCCGATGTTACTGAATTCCCTGGGAGAGGAACTAGTGAGGAGAGGCTACTACCTCTATTAACGTTCTATTGACATTATGTGATATGGAAAATAACATAGGGAAGATGGGAGAAGAATTAAGGAGCTGACAACAAAGAGCAGAGTAAATCAAAATGTTGGTCATTGCCGTTTTATAGTCTTTTTTTTAGTTCAGCCATTTGTGTTTCTTCTTATTTGAGCAGGTTTAATAAAAATCAATGACCAAATCTCCTTCTCACTGATTTGTAAAGTCTTTCCAAAATCACAGGCGCACATAAAGCATTACTGCTGCATACCAAATAAGGCTGGCTGGCTCAAGGAAAAGTGCTTGGACGACTGGCTGAGCTATAAGCTGAGCTCACAGCCTATTTGATGAAATACCACTTTTACTTGAAAGACTGACTTATAAACATACTATGGTTATTCACACTAGGGTATCTGGCAAATTTTTTCTTGAAAATAAACCAAATAAGGCAGAGACTTCAAAGAAAACAACCAACAGTATATACTGGTAACAGTAAAATCTGAGTTTAAAAAAAAAACAACTTAGAACTTGGGAAAATACGTCTACCTGCTACCCTGAGAGCATGGTTATTAGCTTCCCAAATCTTTAAAGGCTCTTCTGAGAATAACTGATAACAAAGTAAATAAATACAATTTTAAAAAAATTTATTAATGAAATGTACCTATGTTTGGAAGACTTAGAAAACTCAGTGAATATTTTCCAAGTGATCAATGAATGATATTAGTAAAAGACCCATCCAAGTACAAGACAAACGAATTTAGTGAAAAATTTACAAAGGTTTATTGGTATGATTTCTGATTTCACTTTGAAACTAACCTTTAAGAAACCACTACTTGCTGTGTCAGAGAATAATACCCACATTCTCTCTAGGCCTTTCCCAACTACATATTTGTATGAGGCTAAATTTTCTTCACATATTTCAACTAAAACAACAAATTGCAAGAGACTGAATGCAGACGCAGATATGAGAATCCAGGTGTGTTTGGCCATCTTAATGTTTTAAGTGAAGTATAAAAGAGACATAAAAATTTAATATAATAACATTCTTTTTGCTAATTTTTTTAATTTTGGAAAAGTTACTTTTCACCAAAACTTTCTACTTATGTTATGTAATTCTGTTGTTTAATTGCTAAATCATGCCCAACTCTTCTGTGACCAAATGGACTGAAGCCTGCCAGGCTCCTCTGTCCATGGGATTTCCCAGGCAAGAGCACTGGACTGTATTATGGTAAAAAATATAGGTCTGCAATTATTTTTAAGTGAATTAATAAACATTTAAAAATTATATGTTTTAATTTCTACCATAGTAAATATCAATTAATATACCAACATAAATAAAACTCTGTAGATTCTTAATAATTTTTAAGATTATACAGGAATGCCAACACCCAGAAGTTTGAGAATCACTACAGCAGAAATCTGAATTTCTGTATTTTTATGTACATCTGTGATCCTGCTTTTTAAACAAAAATTTGCTCTTAGCACTCAATTTTACATAACTGTGTTCAGTTTCTTAGTCCATTTCAAGTTCAAAAGAGTGTAAGAAAAGAGAACAAAAGCCTTCAATTCCTAATAAAATGTATTTCGGTGTTAAGAATATTACCTGTATTCACAGGGGTTTGAAAAGATGGCGGTGCGCTCTCACTTATGTTTCTTTTGGACTCCAACATCTGTCTCACCGTGTTTGTATTTCTATGAAATATATACACACACAAATGGTCACTGGACATGCCATTCTAAGGGATATCTACTTATGCATACAGAAAGCAGTGGCCCACATGAAGAAAGGGTAGCTAGACTTGGATATTAATTTAAAGCACTAAACTGGGAGTGAATGCAGTGAAACAGAGGTGGTACGAAAACACTGGAATGCTGGGGTGTAGGGCATTAGGCAAGAGTCTTCCTTTTATATTCTATGTCCTCAATACTTTAATCTGAAAACCAAAAATGGGTCCGAATATCTGCACACATTAGTTTTTATCAACTCTGACCAAGAATTTCTCAAATACTTAAGGTAATACTATTTAGCACAAGTGGTTAAAGAAATCTGCAATGACAAAAGAAAGCCTTATAAAAAACTAGCAAAATCAATATCCATAGGAGAACAATTACAGCAAAGCAAAAAGAAGCAAATATACTTAATTCAGTACACCAAACACTTATCTCTACAAAAATACATAGCATCACATTCTAAGATCTTTCTGCACAATAAAGAAAATCAGAACCTTGTTCTCTTAATGAAAAACTTGATAATTAGCCTGTTTACAATTCTCACCTGTAGGGCACACTGTTATTGCTGATGACATCAACTACAGACTTTCCTGGTGATACAGGTGGGTTTGGTGGGTTCTGGGGAGAAAAATACCAAGGTAAAATAAAGCCCAATTCACAAGGAATCTTTCAGACCTCTAAGTGCTCTGTTAATATGTTATCTGTTATTTCTATAGTACAAGAGAAAATCTTACTAAGAAAAAAAAAATAAACCTTGGCACTGGCACATATTAAAGCACTTACACAAATTCGTCTATTGTCACAACTACTTATCATAAGAAAAGTGAATAATTCCTAGACCTCAGTTTTTTATGAGTAAATAAAGAATGTAAAAATAGTTTACATGCTAAAAGTGTTCAGTAAGCATTAACAATATGAATCTAAAGAATACCTAGATACTCATTCAATAAACATCTAGTAAATGCCTACTATATATCCTGGCAGAGGAGGCACCAGATTACAAGCAGAAACTCAACAAACAAGGAAAATACGTTTATCCTCAGAAGTAATTAATTACCAATTAAGTGGTATCCTAGGTCACAAATCAAAATTATTTTTATAATTTTTGTTTAAAAAATAACAACTTGTCACTATGTGACTTATAATTTCATAAAAAGATGCTCCAATTCTAAACTTCAGTACAAACTAATTTAAGCCTTTGCCCATCCTCCAAAACAGGGACTATAGAAATAGAGTTGGGGAGGGGGGTGGGAGGGGGGATCGGGATGGGGAATACATGTAAATCCATGGCTGATTCATGTCAATGTATGGCAAAAACCACTACAATATTGTAAAGTAATTAGCCTCCAACTAATAAAAATAAATGGAAAAAAAAAAGAAATAAGAGTTGTAACATTTATATGCTAATTACCATTATTTGGGCCTCCATTATAATGCCACTATCATCATCTATTTCTTAAATTGAGAAAAATAAGTCCACTCAAGTCTTAATTAAATATAATACATATTGAACAAACGGTGATAATCACTTAGAATCACATTAAGCAGATGCCACTAATCACTCTTCTCAACAACAAATATATTTTGCTACTTTTTATAGGATAAAAGAACAATTTTATCTGTGTAGAGGAGGAAAAAAGATAAAGAATTAAGATAAACTGCTCTGACACAGAAACATTTGAAACATCTAGAAAAGCAAATGAAACTAACATTGTAGCATCATTGGGAAAAGTTTTAAAAAAATTTTAGGGGAAAGAAGTGCATCTACTAATAAGTCTTTGAGTAATCAGTACACTCAAAACACTTAAAATGAAGGTAAACATTTCAGAGGGAAAAAATATAAAAGGAGGAGTATATGCATAATAAATAAGTATAAATAAGTAAAGTATGGCTTAGTGTCACTGGATGGCGGACCTTAAACACTACAGTGTGGTGATATCAGCAAGATGGCAGAACTGAAAATCCTATGGATTCCTTCCCTTATGAAAACAATGACTTAACAACTTAAGGATCAAATTTCACTTGTAAGAAGTCAAGAAATCTGTTGAGAGATTAGAGCACCTTAAATGAGAGTAAGCCCCAAAGAGATAAATCATAGAAGGTAGGAAAGTCTGTTGCACTTAACCACCATATCCCACCTCCTTCCTTACACAGTGTGGTAAAATATAAAAGAAAAAGAAAAGAAATCCCAACAAGTGTCCTCTCCTTCAGGAAAGAAACAGTGGAATTTGCAGATTTTGGGGAGACACTGATCAAAGTACTGGCTTCAGTCTCACCCAACTAAGAAGCAGCAGCACACGTTGGGTGTCCTGGGGGGTATATGAGAAGAAAGGCAAACCTCTAGGTCCTAAACCAGAAAACTGGCAGTAATACAGAGAGACAACAGGGGTAACTCCAATATAATGGTTTGCTAAAGCAGCAGCAATTTGAAAGGCAGATAGCAGGTGGGGGATGGGAAGATCCCAAACAGAACCAGACAAAACTCTGCAGATTGGAGATACATGTACAAACTCCAAGAAAATGTCATCTCTGAAAAAAGGTTTGAAAGGAGATCAGAGTTATCTAACTGGACCAACTAGTAAAGGTCTTCATCTGTACAAAGATACTCCAAAAAGATGGGAAGTGTATTTTTTCAAATGCCTAATTTCAACAAAAGAGAAACATACAAAAACAAACAAACAGAGAAATATGGATCAATCTATGAAATCAATCTCCAGAAACTAATCTTAAAGAAACAGATCTAGGAACTCCCCAACAAAGAATTCAAAATGACTATCATTAAGATGTTCAATGAGACAGAAAAGAACACAGAAAGAAAACTGAATGAAATTAGGAAAACAAAGCAAGAAGAAAATGAAACTTCAGATTCGAACCAACAGAAATTCTGGAGCTGAAGACTACAACAACTGAATTGAAACATTTACAAGAAGGGATAAAAACCAGACTGTATCAAGCAGAAAAAAGAATCAGCAAACCTGAAGATAAATCATTTGAAATTACTGAGTTAAGAGAATCAAACAGAAAAAGTGAATGAAAAAAAGGTAAAGACAGACTAAGAGATTTATTAGACACCATCAAGTGGGCCAATATACAAATATGGGAGAACAAGAATGGAAAGAAAGAAAATAGGCAGAAAGCCTACTTAAGTAAAGGCCAAAATCTTCCCAAAGAAAGAAACCTGACAAATTTCAAGAAGGTGAAAGACTTCCAACTCAGAGACCTACACTAAGAAACATTATAGTAGAGCTGTGAAAAGTCACAAAGATTGTAAAAGTAGCAAAAGAAAAGAGACCCATCACATTTAAGGCTGCTCCCTTAGGATAATCAGTGCTTTCTTCTCAGAAGAAACCTAGCAGGCCACAAGGGAGTGGAATGATATATTCAAGTGCTGAAAGAAAAATACTGCCAAGCAAGAATATCATAACCAGCAACACTATCATTGCAAAAATGAAGGCAAAATTAAGATTTCCACAGTAAATACAAGGCTGAGTGCATTTCACACCACTAAATCCACCATACAAGAAATGTTAAAAGGAGTCCTTTAAGTAGAAATGAAAGGACACTAGAGAGCAACCTGAAAGCAAAGGAAAATATAAAACTCTCTGGTAAAAGTAAATACAAAAATAAATACTGAATACTGCATTACTATAAAGTGCAAACAGAAATCACATCTAATTCTAGTACAGAATTTAGGTATGAAATATAATTGTAAATCTATGTTAACATACACACAATACAAAAAGATATAATGTGTGATGTCAACAAAATGGTGGGAGGAAAAAAGTGACTTGAATTTATTTCCAGTTTAAAACAATTGTAAACTTAAGAGATGTGCAAATCAAAACTACAATGAGAGATCATCTCACACCAGTCAGAATGGCCATCATTAAAAAATCTATAGTATTATTAAAATGTCCACCCTACCCAAAGTGGTCAAAAGTTTCAATGCAATGTCATTTTTTTTCCTGTCATTTTTTGCAGAAATAGGAAAAAGCATCCTAAAATTCAAATGAAATCTCAAGAAACTCTGAATTGCCGAAAACAATCTTAGAAAAGAACAAAGTTGAAAGCTTATACTTCCTAATCTTAAAACATGTTACAAAGCTACAGTAATCCAAACAGTATGATGCTGGAATGCAGACAGACATGTAGAAATGTGAAACAGAATACTGACCCCAGAAATAAACTCTTAATGTATACACTCAAATGATGTTCTACAAGGGTGTAAAGGCTACACAATGGGGAAAGAACGAACAGTCTTTTGACAAACTGTGTGAAAATTGGATATCCAAATGCAAAAGAATAAAGTCAGACCATTAAATCATATATAAAGTTTAATCCAAATGGATTAAAGAACTAAACATAAAACCTACAACTATGAAATTCTTCAGAGAAAACACAGAGGAAAGCTTCAGGATAGTGGACTTGGCAACGATTTCTTGGATCAAAGCAAAGGTAACAAACGCATTAACAAGACAAAGAAGATTACATCAAACTTAAAATCTTCTGCACATGAAAGGAAACAATCAACAGACTGAAAAGGACACCTACCTACGTAATGGCAGAGAATAACTACAAATCATGTAACTGGTAAGGTGTTAATATCCAAAACATAAAAAGAACTCCTACATCTTAACAACTAAAAGATAAGTAACCAGATTTACAAATGGCCAAGGGACCTGAATACATATTTTTCCAAAGAAAATATCCAAAATGATTAATAAGCATGTGAAAAGACGCTCAACATCACTAAGCAGAGAAATGCAAATCAAAACCACAATGAGATAAGGCCTCACATCCATTAGGGTGGACACTATCACAAAAGAGGGAAAAAAAATGTTGCCAAAAATATACAGCAATTGGAACCCTTGTGCCATGCTGATGGGAATGTAAATGACATGATTGCTCAGTTCCTCAGTGTTAACTTGTTCAGTTGTGCCCAGCTCTTTGAAAGCCATGGACTGCAGCCCACCAGGCTCCTCTGTCCATGGGATTTTCTGGCAAGAATACTGGAGTGGTTTGCCATTTCCTTCTCCAGGGGACCTTTCAGACCCAGGGATCAAAGTGGGGTCTCCAGCACTGCAGGCAGATTCTTTACCGACTGAGCTACCTGGGAAGCCCTAAATGTGACTTTAGCAGTGATGTGACTGCAAAAGAAAACTATATGGAGGCTCCTCAAAAAAGTAACAGAAATACCAAATGACCCAGCAATTTCACTTCTGGGTAGAAATGCCCAAAACTTCGACCTCAAAGAGGTGTCTGCACACACCAATGTCACTGCAGCATTATTCGTAAGAGCCAGAAGTTGAAACCAGCCCAAATATGAATCAATAAATAAAAGGATAAAGAAAATATGGTATACACAAACAATGGCATATTAGCATTAAAAAAGAAAATCCTGTCATACGCAATAACCCAGATGAACCTTGAGAACATAATGCTTTGTGAAATAAGATAAACAAAACAAATACTGTATGACTGTACTTAGGAGATATCTAGAGAAGTCAAAACCATGGAAACAAAGTAGAATGATCATTTCCAGGGGCTAACAGGGAGGGGAAATGGTAGTTGTTCTATGGAGCTCTAGTTTTGCAAGATTAAAAATTCCTAGAGATATGCTACACAACAATGTGAATACAGTTAACACTACTGAATTGTAGAATTTAAAATGGTAAATTCTAAGTTAAGTTTTTATCACAATTAAAATAAAAAGAATTATTTTTAATAAAAAATTGAAATGCAGGATTTAGATTAAATCTAAAATTTAAGAATCAATTATAAGTCACTGATTTCCATAAAGGAGAAAAATATCTTGTTTTTTTTATAGTAAAAAAAAATAGAAAGGATGAAAGTTAAAGATATCAGTCACAAAGCCATAAAATACATTAAATATGAATATGGTCTTAATAGCAAACTGCTTATGAGGAATTACACAGTATTTGTCCTTCTTTCCATACTTATTGTAGCTCTTCAAGACAAATGTTATAGTGGAAACCATAATTAAAGGAAATTAAGACATGGAAGAACAAAATCTTTTGACATTTCTCTAGAAATATCTCTCACAAGAAGAAAACAATAACAAGAATGAGTTAGAAAGATGTCTAAGTTTTGAAATTTAAAAGTGGCCTTACAAACTAAAAGAAGTAACATAATTTTGAAAGACTGAACACTACCTTAACATTTTCTTCAAGTGCCACACACACTAATTGTTCAAATTAATCTTTTCCGATCTTTAGGAATTACACAGTATTTGTCCTTCTTTCCATACTTATTGTAGCTCTTCAAGACAAACGTTTCAGGGATCATAATATTTTCATCTGTATATATTAAGGTCTCTACCTATCTCCTTTAACTAAACAAGTAAGACCTGGAAAACAGTTCTGATAACAAATGTGATATGCACAAACACTGGAAAAGTACAAGGTGGGCAGCACTACTTAGTTCAGACACAGGATGAAAAGAAAAAAATGGAACATCATATTGTAAAAAACAATGGAAAATTTTCAAACCCCTATGTTTGGTTCAGGCATAGCAAATAAAGGTTAAAAAAGGTTTATACCAATTTTCTAACTGAAGAAATAGTTTTTATAGTGTGACCAAAAAAAACACTTTTTTTAAAGCTAAGAAACTAGAGTTTAAAATCAGAAAAGCAATTACATCAGTGAAGAAGACCATAATAAAAAAAATCTTTGGGTGTGGCCAAATGAGGATTTGATGATTAGCCTGTGTAAACAAACTGTCAGTTGCTCAAGAAAAGATAAATCAGAGCTTAAAAATTTAAATTCAAAGAATATAAAGATGCAGAACAGATTTGTAGCTGCCAGAATACAGGAGGTGAGGGTAGGGTATAAAGGCAAGGTTGAAACTGTAAAAGAGAAGCAAGAGGGAGTCCCTGTGTGGTAAGGGACTGTATCTTGAACTGCAGCAGCAGGTTACACAAATCTATACATGAGATCAAACTGCAGAGAAACACACACATATACAGAATTAATTTATGTAAAAACTGAAGGAAACTGATAAAGTGTACAAAACTATTTGATAGAACTGTACTAATTTCTTGGTTTTGATAATGTACTACGGGTATATATTTCACCAATGACCAAGGCTGAGTGAAGGGTTCTTAGGAGTCTATGTGTTATTGTTGCAATTTCTTGTGTATCTATCATTTCAAAATAAGTTGTTTTAAAAAGTTAAGTAAAGAAGATATGAAAATGATTCAAGACAGAAATATCTATAGGAATAATGACTACTACTGAAAAAAAACTACTATTGGAAATTACTATGTACCAGGCAATAAAGTTATCAAGACACAAAGAAATATAACTTGCTCAAATGAAAAAAAGAGGAAAAGAAATTCAACTAAAAACAATACTGCAAAGTACAATGCTATACTAAAAATCCATATTACAGAATAACTAAGGAAACAACAGAAAGCAAAGTGTGATTACAGCCCACAGTTTGTGCTATGCTACGACACCTGCACTAAACTATATGGAGGAAGAAAGGAAGAGGAGAACTGGGCTACTTGAGGTCGTGTAATACTGAACTATTTTGCAGAACATACTACACTGGCAAGTACAGGCATACCTTGCTTTATTGCACTTCACAGATACTGCATTTTTTAAAAACTGAAGGTTTGTAGCAACATGCATCAAGCTTGGTACTATTTTTCCAATAGCATTTCCTCACTTAATGTCTCTGTGTTGACCATTACAGTATACTAACACATATATATGGAATTTAGAAAGATGGTAACGATAACCCTATATGCAAAACAGAAAAAGAGACTCAGATGTATAGAACAGACTTGTGGACTCTGGGAGAAGGTGAGGATGGGATGTTTCAAGAGAACAGCATCGAAACATGTATATTATCTAGGGTGAAACAGATCACCAGCCCAGGTTGGGTGCATGAGACAAGTGCTCGGGCCTGGTGCACTGGGAAGACCCAGAGGGATCGGGTGGAGAGGGAGGTGGGAGGGGGGACCAGGATGGGGAATACATGTAAATCCATGGCTAATTCATTTCAATGTATGACAAAAACCACTGCAATGATGTAAAGTAATTAGCCTCCAACTAATAAAAATAAATGGGAAAAAAATAATAAATAAATAAATAAATAAATAAAAATGTCTCTGTGTTACATTTTGGTAATTCTTGTAATATTTCAAACTTCTTCATTACTGTTATACTGCTATTTGTTGTTGCTTTAGTCACTAAGTTGTGTCTGACTCTCTGTGATCCCATGGTCTGTAGCCTACCAGGCTCCTCTGTCTATGTGATATCTCAGGCAGGAATACTGCAGGGGATTGCCATTTCCTTCTTGACCCAGGGATCAAACCTGCATCTTCTGCATTGGTAGGTAGATTCTTTACCATGTAGCCACTAGGAAGACCCTATTATAGTCTATAGCAATCTGTGACCAGTGATCTTTGATGTTATTGCAATTATTTTATGTTTTGCATTTTTAAATTAAGGTATGTTCATTAAAACGTATCTAAATGATTTTTCAGACATAATACCACTGCTCATTTAATAGACTATAGAATTAACATAACATTTATGTATTTTTTTCTTTAATGAAAATTTTTTCTTTACAAATCTGTGGCCTGCTTTATTGCAATAATTCCTTTACTACATACAGTGGTCTGGAACTGAACTCACAGTATCTCCAAGGTATGCCTGAGAGAAACATGGTAAGGCAAATCCCCAAAGCCTAATTTTAAAAATGGACAGAAAATACAATTTCAAGAATGGCTTACATATACATATTATATGTACTGATGTTCATATGAAAACAGTGAGGATTAGAAAGGGTTAATGACTAGTTCTAGAGCAGAAGTTCCAGAAACAACATGCAGGAAGTACACAGTATGAAAGAAAATTTCAGACTTCCTTCCTCCTTAGGTCAGCACCTAAGATTACCACTTAAAGCTAAATATCAACTATGTAAGAACAGAAATTCTTACTTCTTGTCTTTTCTTAAGATCTTCTTTGGCTGCTCCAAAGCGTTTCGTTAACCTGGCTATCTTGGCCTAAAAAAAGCAAAAATGAGACAGAAATCAAATGGCATTATAGTATTAAAAAGGAACCTGTGCATACATAACAAGAAACCTATGGGTAATAGGATCCTCAGAAGACAGACAACAGCAAAGAATATAAGATAAGTTGTTGTACAGTCCTTGACTTCAAAACCCAAAGTAAACATGCTTAAGTTTTAGAAGATTGGCTTTTTTCCTCCTTGCTCACAAACCAGCATATTTATGAATATATGTGCTTGCATTTCTTATTATTTAACATAGTTGGAACCACACTTAATTTTCTCACTGAGAATTATATATTAATAGTTAACATATCTATAAATCACAGAAGATCCCTAATCAATAGTACATATGAGTCTGGAATTCTCTAGGCCAGAACACTGGAGTGGGTAGACTTTCCCTTCTCCAGGGGATCTTCCCAACCCAGAAATCGAACCCAGGTGGATTGCAGGTGGATTCTAGACCAGCTGGGCCACAAGGGAAGCTACATCTACAGTACTCAAATACTTCTTTTCAAAAATTAACCTACTAGCAAATAAATAGCAACAAGATCTTTTTTGACCCATCTCCTAGGGTAATGAAAAATAAATAAACAAATGGGACTAATTAAACTTAAAATATTTGGCACAGCAAAGGAAACCATAAATAACATGAAAAGACAACCCTCTGAATGGGAAAAAAATATTCGCAAACGAAGCAACTGACAAAGGATTAATCTCCAAAATATAAAATCAGCTTATCCAGCTCAATATGAAAACAAAAAAAATACCAATCGAAAAATGGGCAGAGGACCTAAACAAACATTTCTCAAAAGAAGACATACAAATGGACAAAAAACACATGAAAAGATGTTTAACATCACCAATTATTAGAGAAATACAAATCAAAACTACAATAGGATATCACCTCACATTGTTCAGAATGGTCATCAAAAAAATCTACAGACAACAAATGCTAGAGAAGGTGTAGAGAAAAGGAAATACCCTTACACTCTTTCTGTGAATGTAAATTGACAGAGCCACTGTGGAGAATGGTATGTATGTGTGTGTAAGTCGTTTAGTAATGTCCAACTCTTTGTGACCACATGGACTATACAGTCCATGGAATTCTCCAGGCCAGAATACTGGAGTGTGTAGCCGTTCCCTTCTCCAGGGGGATCTTCCTAACCCAGGGATCGAACCCAGGTCTCCCTAATTGCAGGTAGATTCTTTACCAGCGGAGCCACAAGGGAAGTCTGGAGAACAGTACAGAAGTTCCTTAAAGAAACTAAAAACAGAACCACCATATGACCCAGCAATCCCACTACTGGGCATATACTCAGAGAAAGCCATAATTCAAAAAGACACATTCACCCCACTGTTCAGTGCAGCACTATTTACATCAGCCAGGACATGGAAGGAACCTAAATGTCCATTGAGAGAGAAATGGATAAAGAAGATCTGGTACATATATACAATAGAGTATTAGCCATAAAAATGAATGATATAATGCCATTTGAAGCAACATGGATGGACCTAGAGATTTTCATACTGAGTAAAGTCAGACAGAGGAGGAGAAATATTGTATGACATCTCTTACAAGCAGAATTCAAAAAGAAATAATACAAATCAACATTTACAGAACAGAAACTGACTTACAGACTTAGAGAATGAACTTATGATTGCCAGAGGGAAGGGATATGGGAAAGGGTTAGTCAGGGAGTTTGGGACAGACATGTATACACTGCTATTATTTAAAATCGATAACCAACAAGGTCCTACTATATATAGCACAAGGAACTCTGCTCAGTGTTCTTTGACAATCTGGATGGGAGAAGCGTTTGGGAGAGAATGATAGATGTATATGTATACCTGAGTCCCTCTGCTGTCCACCTGAAACTATCACAACACTATTAATAAATTATACTCCAACATAAAATAAAAAGTATTAAAAAAAGAAAAGAAATGCCTGAGATGGAAAAGATTGGGAAAGAAGACACATGGCAGAAGGGGGCTTTAAAAGCTCTCACCCATCTCAGGAAATTAAGAAGACTATCTGAATGTTCAGGACAGAATGCAAGCTCAGAAGTGGCCTGAAAAGACCCTAAGCTGTCACCTCAGACTAGCCTTCAGAATCTATGCAAGCAGGAAGACAAGAATAAGGCAAGTGTGATAAAACAGGTTGTAAATGGCCTAGACTAAGTGTTGAAAGTGAAAGTGAAGTCGCTCGGTCGTGTCCAACTCTTTGTAACCCCATGGACTGTAGCCTACAAGGCTCCTCAGTCCATAGAATTTTCCAGGCAAGAGTACTGGAGTGGGTTGCCATTTCCTTCTCCAGGGGATGTTCCTGAACCAGGGATCAAACCCGCGTCTCCGGCATTGTGGGCAGACGCTTTACTGTCTGAGGCACCAGGGAGGCTGAGTGTTGAAAGAGTACCCCAATACAGTTAACCTGCAAAGATTTGGGAGAGTAATCTTTTTACCTTTTTAGGCTCCCGGCATTTAAGTGAAAGTTGCTCAGTCATGTCTGACTCTGCTACTCCATGGACTATAGCCTGCCAAGGTCCTCTGTCCATGGAATTCTCCAGGCCAGAATACTGGAGTGAGCTGTTCCCTTCTTCAGGGGATCTTCCCAACCCAGGGACTGAACCCAGGTCTCCTGCACTGCAGGTGGATTCCTTACTGTCTGAGCATTTAAGGTAACTGTCAAAATATCAGCTGACCACTAACCTAACAAAACATAAACTTCAGTGACCATACACAATAATGAATATATACTTTCCAAAAATTATTTTAAAAACCCACTAATCAAGCAAACAACAACAAGCAGCAATAGCAAACCCTGGATAGAAGGGGAAAATCTGATTTTCTGAATTGTCACATTGCAATACTCAAAAAATCCATTTAAACAGTAACAATGAACAAATTAGGACATATACAAAGAAATAAGAAAGTATGGTTTATTCACAGAAAGAAAAAAAATTAACAGAAATACAGCTCAGGCATAGGACTTACTAGACAAAGACTTTAAACAAATGTTTTAAATCTGTTCAAAGGGCTAAAGGATACCATTGAGAAAGAACTTGGAAAAAAAAAAAGGAAAAAAATGTCTCACCAATAGAGAGACTATCAGTAAAGAGACAGATATTATATATTTTTTAAAAAGTATAAATTCTGCAGTTGAAAGTATAATAACTGAAATTAAGAAATTCACCAGAGAGATGGGAGGACAAGACTGTGAAAGAAAAGTTTTGTATACTTTTTTGTATAATAGGTATTAATTCAAGAGGTTAAGTTTCATCCCCAGAGTAATCACTAAGGAAAAAGTAAAACCTTTATGGAAAGAGAAAAATGAAGAGACTCAAAATGGTTCACTAGTAAAAAATCATAAAAGGAGGCAGTAATGTAGGAAGAATTAAGGTACAAAAAAGGTGAAAGACAAGTAAAATGGTAGGACTAAGTCTTTCTTTATCAGTAACTAATTTAAATGTAAAGAGATGAAAAACTCTTCAATTAAAAGACAGAGATTAGCAAAGTGGATAATAAATCATGACCCAACTCTATGCTGCCTAAAAGACTTCATCAAAATGTAAAATTTCTGTACATTAAAAGACATTATCAAGAGATGAAAGTGAAAAGAAAACTTACAGAGTGGGTGAAATAGTCATAAATCATGTACTTTAAAGTGTTCAAATATCCAAAATATGTAAAAAAACTCTTACAGCTCAACGATAAAAAGGCACAAACAAAAAATCCAGGAATAAAAATAACTTAAATTTTCTCTAAAGGAGATACACAGATGTTTAAACAACACATGAAAAGATGTTGAACATCAGTAGCCATTAGGAAAACACAACCAAAATCACAATGAAATACCACTTCATATCCCTTAGGATGTTATGATTATTTTTAAAAAACAGACAGTAACAAGTGTTAACAAGGAAATGGAGAAATGGAACCCTCAACATTGCTGGTAGGAATATAAAACAGGAAACAATTGCCTGTTCTACAATCAATTAAACAAAAGAATTACCATATAACTCATAATCCCATGCCTAGGTATATGCCCAAAAGATTTGAAAACAAGTATTCAAATACTTGTATACAAATGTTCACAGCAGCATTATTTTCAATATTCAAAAGGTGGAAAGAGCTCAAATGCTCATCAAATATTCATCAACTGAAGAATACATAAACAAAATATGTGTATGTGTGTGTACATGTATACACAAGTTAACATCTTGAACTAATTCCTATTTATTTTCAACAGTATAGAAACATAAATATTACTTAGCAATGAAAAGGAATATAGTAGTGATACATACTAAACATGTATGAATCTGAAAAACATTATGCTATGAAAAAACAGGCCAGACACAAAAAGTCACATATTTTATAACTCTGTTCATATGAAATAATGCAGTATAGGTAACTCAATAGAGACAGAGAGCAGATTAGTGGTTCCCAAGGGCTAGAGGGAGAAGGAAATGAGAAGTGGCTATTTAGCCGGTACAAGGTTTTCTTCTGGATTGATGAAAATGTTCTGGAACTAGATAAAGATGATGATCATACAACAGTGTGAAGGTACCAAATGACACTGAACTGTAAACTTTAAAGTAATTGCTATCCAAATTTTACTTCCATAAAAATCTAAATATCAGAACAACAAAGAAAGAGATGGGAACTAAACTGGGCTGAGTAAAATGTAAATAAATGGCATGGTAAAGACAGATCATAAATGAATGGAAGCTACAATATGAAATCAAATGGCTGAAATAAAAATACTGTGAGCATTAACACTCGGCAGGGGGCTTTCCTGGTGGCTCAGTGGTAAAGGATCTGCCTGCCAATACAAGAGGCACAGGTTTGATCCCTGGCCCGGAAAGATACCGCATGTTGTGGAACAGCAAAGCCCATCCACGACAACTGCTGAGCCTGTGCTCAAGGGCCCGGGAACCACAGCTGCCGAGTCCCCACGCTGCAGCCACTAAGCCTGCACGGCCTGGAGTCCAGGTTCAGTAACAGGGAAGCCAGCACAGTGAGAGCAGCCTCCACTCGCCTCAACCAGAGAAAAGCCCACACAGCAATGAAGACCCAACACAGCCAACAAACAAATAAAAAAATTTTTTTAAATCTTAAAAAAAAAAAATACTCTGTAGGACAGTGAACCAACTGGTGGGATTAGCAAAAGCAGATCAAAAGCTAGGAGATCTAAATTACAAATCAGAAAATGAAGACAGGTTTAAACTGGTACACAACTGAGGAAACTGGACTACACAGAAGAGAATTAACAAGCAGCATTTTCGAAAGATGAACACAATGCTTGAAAAGAACCAGTAAAGACGTAAAAAGCAGTACCAAAGTGATCATGTAAAAGGCTGCTATTATAATCAAGGAGCTGGGCCTTGTAGAAAGTTAAAAGATGTAAAAGACAGACTTTTACAAGAAATTTAAAAGTTTTAATTTGGCAACTCACCGTGTATATGTAAAGTGATACTGAGGAATCAGTTTCCAAGAACTGAAAAATTGTGAATAAAAGGAACAATGGGAAAACTTTTCTAAGAATTCAAAAATTTTGAGTAAGGAAAACAATGTGCAAACTCCACAACATGACTTATTTGTGGAGAAGATGATTGGTTTGATGTTGGAAAGATTTAAGATTCTACGGCTACAAAGAAATATCCAAGTGCAAAGGTTTATTAAAAGTTAGAGACAGACTTGTATCTTAAAAATATGAGAGTTAAAATCTCAGGTTCTAAAAGCACAAAATCATAGATGCAGCCATGGGACTGATAACAAACCATGAATGAAATTATTCTCTTAAATCTTCCAACATTTTCAAGTTCTAATTCAACATTCTAAATAGTACTAGTAAAATAAAATGTAATGATTAGAAAATACTATCACTATGTTAGGATCCGCTAAAGGTAAGAGACAGGAATAGTGTTGTCCTAAATGATGCATTATAAAATAACTACAATGACCTTATTTTTAATAAAGTCTCACTTTAAATAAATTTTACAATACAAAATTAGAAAACTAAACTTGTTGGCTGAGATATACACTTCCTAAAATCTCAGTTGCTTGCAATTTGCTTTCAACTGCGCAACTTTATTTTCATGAACCACTTCTCCCTTGTTTGTAAATAAGGGTCTATAAATGGTTTTCAGGTCAGCATCTGAGACAATGCTCATATTTCAGACAACCTACCAAATAGAAACCACACATTCTCTTATGACAGAATGAATGTATTGATGAAATTTCCCAGCTTCTTAATCTTGAAATAAAATTAATTACTAAAGCCTGCTACCATGTGCTCATTTTCAAGTTTCTAATTACATGTTAATATACAGATATATTCATTAAAAAAAGTATTTATTTATAAACATAGAGCAACAAACTAATGTCTTTAAAAACACAATTCATTGGAGGAAATAGATTAATATAAAAAAATCACAGCAAACATTATTCACTACTTAACAGTATTTTAGATGATGCCAGCCTTTCTTCACTGACTGAAGGAATACTGAAGATAGACTGCTAAGATTACTTCTGAGGCTTGGCATGGGTTGATACATATCTCAAAAGTATGCTGAAGTCTGAACCCCAAGTATCAGAACACAAACTTATCTGGAAATAGGTAATTGTAGAGGTAATTACAGTTGACCCTTGAACAACATGGAGTTGAACTGCATGGGTCCAATTATACATGGAAATTTTTTTTCAATAAATATACTATTCATATTTTCATTTTACAGATCTTTAAATTGAGTGAGAGTCTGTGTTCAATTAGAGATCACCATAACTTAAATCAAAGGAACTAGGGTTTGAGTTCTGATTCTATCTGAACTGTTCCAGCTTACTGCGGTGGGTGAGTCATTTATGCATTTCTTCATTTTCTGAGGCAGGTACCAGTACATAGATTTTCAACTGCAGGCAGTGGGGATAGCACCTCTAACCACTACACTGTCCAAAAGTCAACTATAGTTAAGATGAGGTCCTACTATAATAGTGTGGGTCCTAATCCAGGGTTACTAGTATCCCTAGAAAAGGGGGGAATTTGGAAGCAGACACACATACAGACACAGCACTATGTGAAGATGGAGCCAGAAATCACAATGATACTTCCACAAGACAAGAAATGCCCAAGACTGTCAGTAAACCATAGGAAGCTACAGGAGACAAATGGAACAATTGTTTCTTACAGCCCTCAGAAAGAACCAGTCCTGATGGAAGCTTGACCTTGGGCTTTTAGCCTCCAAAACTATAAGACACTACATTCTGTTTTGGAAGTCACCCAGTTAATGGTATTTTTTTTAATGGCAGCCTGAGCAAACAAATAGAGATTACTTTTATTCCTAATACTTAGAAGTTAAATATACTTTATTGTCAACTTGGAAAACATATACCAGAAAGTAAGTTATGAAAAAAAAAAGAAAGTTATGAAAATGATGACACGTAGATATGCAATTCACTGTACAAACCTGTAGTTCAGCAAGAACTGTTTTATGCCTCTTATTACACTCAATCTTTTCCACTCGTGTTTTCAATTCTGCCAATGTCTTATCAAATACAGCACACTGCAGTGCACACAATTTTTCTTCCAGCAACCACTGTACAACCTAAAAATATATATTCCTTTGTTACAAAAAAGGAATTTCAAGCAAGCAGCAAACAGTAAATATTCTGAAGTACTAAGACAGTACTAATACATTAGCTAGTTTGTTTAAAAAAAAAAATACTGGCATCCATAACACAATGCTATCTGTTGAAATCCTCTACTTCTGCCTATGTAATATCTACTGTAACAGAATAAAGTGTACTAAAAATGGAACATTTCCAGAGGGTGAAATTTTTAAAACAATTTGAAATTGAAGTTCTAATATTTTCCTCCCATACCTTCTATTGTGATTTAAGGAAACAAGGTGAAGGACCAGATTTTAATATTTTCTAATCTGTTACAGATGATATTTTTATGAGACATTAAGAATCTCACTGCACTATGAAATTTACTCACAGTTTTTATATTTATCTCATTATGGACTCATAAAGAGGACACATGGCGCGTATCCATGGACCACACTCGAGTAACACTTTCCTAGAGGAGTAAACCCTCAGTATACACAGATGTTTTCGAAATCCTTTCACATAGCTATCTTCATATTTCTAATAGCTCTAAAAGAAAGACTAAACTGGCACTATTATCACCATATGATAAAAAGATCTGAGAGAAAAAAAGCCACTTTTTTACTATCTCTCTGTTCCTTTCTCTAAAGGGGATATTTAGACTTTGAGTAGAAGAACACTGGCCTAGATTATTTATAATTTCACCATTAAATCTGTAAGGCTTTGAAAAATTAATTTCACCCAAGTCTCCTATTCTTCTCTCAAAAAAAGATTTGTCAACATTTATGAACACATTTTGAAAAATATATTGAATACTTTATATTTTCATTATTTCTATCTCTAGTCTAATACATATAGTGAGAAGTTTCCAAAGCCTGTACTTTAAATATTCCTTTTCCCTAGTCCTTCCAGAGCATTGCTCATACCATTTTTAATACTAAGCCTAAAATATGTAACAAAAATCTTAGAATGCAAGGACTTACAGCCATGAAACCAGCTTATGAAAAAAGTTATAAAAGCTAAAATGTTAACATATGAGACTCTAATGCTCCTACTAGAATGAAGTTGAATATAGAAGCAAAAAAAAGCTCAAAGCTGATATTCAGTTTTGTATAAAGCAAATAAGTCATAACTTCTCTCCCATTTTGATGATTATTATTGTATCTTTAGAAAAACAAAAACGATTTAACTTCAAAAGAGTCACAAGGAATTTTGGAATTAAACCAAGGGTAATAAACCCAACCACTTTCACGTTCTTTGTTTCTATGAGAAATATGAATATATCAATAAAATACAGAGTAAAGTCAAAAAACCTAGAAGAATAAAGATGGCGGTGCCTTTTATTTAATATGGTTTTAACTTATAATCTCTAACACCTTTTGTAGCTTCTGGTTTATATCTCCTTTGGCTGTAATCTTTACTTGAAATTCTGCCTCATATTCCTCTTCCAAATATCGACGGCGTTTGGACTGTATATTGTCCATGTCCTCTGACTTTGAACGTTTTCTTCTAAAGAATTCACCTGAGAAAAAAAAAGTAGGTGCTTTTATTAAACACCAATCAAATGCTTTTATTATAGATAGACTGTAATGCTTATTTCCCATCCTCAGGAAAATATTATTTCTATCTACAAAACAGCATTCTCCCATCCAAGTACTAACCAGGCCCGACCCTGCTTAGCTTCCAGATCAGACGAGATCGGGCGCGTTCAGGGTGGTATGGCCGTAGACCAAAACAGCATTCTCAATCATTTGCTTTTGTGATCAGAAAAGTTAGTAGATAGCTTTTAGCTTTAAACTTGAAATGATTTTCAATATGCTAAATAAGAACTTCCTAATGGCTAAATAAGCAAATGGACGAACAACATGAACAAAGAACATTCTTTCCTCAAAATCTTCATATTAAGATGGAAGATGAACTAACAATATGAGATCATCTTAAATTCATTTTTAATAAATTCTATACTACAATATGAACTCTGACAAAATACAGCATTCATTCACAAGTCACAGATTTCTCAGTATTCATTCTCCATTACATACAAGTGTGCATAGCTTTAATTATTTAATTCTATCCCCTCAGTAAAATTTTTTCCTCGCTAAATTTAGGAAAAATTCTCCCTTAATAATTAGGCTTAGGAAAATAACATGTCAACAGTTATTCTTAACATATCTTAATAAATTGCAAATATTTATTGATAAAAATAATAAAATTAATGTTATTATGAAAGTAATTTGGTAAATAACAAATATTCAAAGACCTTCACTTTTAAATACTGACAACACTCATGAGATCATAAGCAAGTTTTATCTGGCTTCTTTTTGAATATGTAAGAAGGAAAATATTAAAATCTCCACACTTATTAAAGAAAAATGGCCATTTGTGACCATAAATCTTCCTCTCTACCTCACCCTATATCCCTATCTATGTGCCTGATTTAAAAGCCAATTCTATTCCACAACTTCTCTTGTATTACAACTTATACATGCACAAATGGAGAGGAGTAAGACAGAGAGTTACAGAATACCAATTTCTTGACTTCTAGTCCAGTGATCTTTCCATAAACCTAATGACATTCAGTAACATTGTTTTCCCCTTCCCATAAAGCTTAAGAGCTTTAAATAAACTGAGATACATACTTCCATTAGCCAGTATCACCTCAGACAGAATTCCTATAGGCCCATGCTCTAAAAGAAAATCTAAAATAACTTCTCTCAAGATATTCAGATAGTACCTTACTAAATAAATAGTAAGCTTAAATCTTTCTTATGGAACAACGGAAAGAATAAACAAAACAATAAAGCACATGAAAGAATTAACACCTTCAAAGATAGTTAACCATCAAGAAAATTATTTTACTGTGGCTTACTTAAACTGAAAAATTTTACAATCATTTCATGGACAAAAGAGTATTTTCTACAGCCTTAAAAGCAGAAACAATTTTTAAAACAATTTCAGGTTTGCTTATACATGCTTACTTTTCTCAGAAGGTCTTTCATCTTCACGTATTACTTGCTCTTCTTCCTCAGGTTTGCTGTCCTTTTCATTGCTTTCTACTTCTTCCATAACAAAAATAGAAAAGGAAAATTTCTTCCATTATCATTTGGCAACAGTTCATAATAATTCACATTTTTGGTGTAATTATCCAGCTAATATTTCATGAAATCAGTCTCAAAATGTAAAATATTGGGAATAAAAAAAGAAGCATGAACTGGTAGAAATTAATGACCAAGTCTAGTTTTTAAAGTTCTTGCAAGTTCATAATAAACTCTTAATATGGAAAAAAAATATCGATTTTAAAACAAAATATCTTAATAATTTACTGACATCAATAGATGTGAAAACAACTACTATAGTGCATTCAGACTCCTTTATATTCAGTTATTAAAACTAAAACATTAGTTGTGACTAATTACCAAAAAAATACAAAAAAAATTACAAATTACTGACAAACTCAAAACACCTAGTATTTTTGACCAGATAGGCTGAATCATTATTTTAATGGTTATGGATGGGTAAAATCTATCCTAAAGATAAAAAATGTTTTACTAAAAAGTAATAGCTACTTCAATACCAGTGCCAACAACTAACTTAGCTAGGTGCTTAACATACATTACTTCTTATCTTCCTTCTTATCTTCCTGCAGTCCATGGGGTCGCTAAGAGTTGGACAAGACTGAGCGACTTCACTTTCACTTTTCACTTTCATGCACTGGAGAAGGAAATGGCAACCCACACTCCAGTGTTCTTGCCTGGAGAATCCCAGAGATGGGGGAGCCTAGTGGGCTGCCGTCTATGGGGTCATACAGAGTCGGACACGACTGAAGTGACTTAGCATAAACAGTATTTTGCCATCATGTAGATAAGGACAGTAACATTCAGAAAGGTTGAGGAATTTTCGGGCTTCCCAGGTGGTAATAGTGGTAAAGAACTCGCCCACCAATGCAGGAGAGTAAGACATGCAGGTTCAATCCCTGGGTCAGGAAGACCCCCTGGAGGAGGGCATGGCAGCCCACTCCAGTATTCTTGCCTGGAGAATCCCATGGACAGAGGAGCCTGGTGGGCTTCACAAAGAATAAAACATGACTGAAGCGATGTAGCACAAGTAATTTTCACAACAGGCAAATAAAAGCTAATAATTAAAGAATGCGACCAAAAAATATTTATAAAGATATCTATACAACTGCATTGTTATAACAAAGAAAATTCCAGAGGAACCAGAAATGGCCTTTGGTCAATCAACTTATAGCTCCTCAACTAACTTAACCATTAAGGGGAGAAGAACAAATCACTGATATATTTGGATCCTATTTTCCTCCCTTATATCCTTTAGCTTCAATAAAACATGCCATATTTCATCATATACTGCAACCAAAATTAAATAAGCAACCATGTGCATACAGAACTATATAAAGATTCTGATAAGGCATTTCTGCTTCAAATACCAGGATTTTAGTTTCAACAGCCCTGAGTAGCGTGTGTGTGTGTGTGTGTTAGTCACTCAGTCGTGTCCGACTCTTTGTGACCCCATAGACTATAGCCCACCAGGCTCCTTTGTCCATGGCATTCTCCAGGCAAGAATACTAAGTAGAAACTCAGGTTTAAAAAAAAAAAAAAAGAATTTTTAGGTGAAAACAGGCAAAGACGAGGATCACTGATGAACCTATTACAATATTTTTCACACTAAGATATTAAAAACAATAACTCTGTAAAACGTGACAGTAGTAAAACAGAACAAGAATGTTAACACAGTACATATAAAGATTACTCAGACTATTTTTAAGCTTTAAAATAAAAGAGTATTAGAAAATTAACTTCCCATTTACCACCCTATGCTCCTGAGAAATGTTTTTAAGATCTCATCCCTCAACCTCAGTTCAATGAAATGAAACTTTATTTTGCTCCCTTGTAGACTGCACACTCATTACAAAGCATTTACTATATTTACTTTTCCAAGTTTTCCTATCTTTAATACTAAGGGTGGTGACTCCCATAGTTTCTAAGTTTCCAGAGTAACTTGGTTGCTTAAGATTAAGATTTACCTAGTCTTTTATTCAGCAAACCATCACACCACCAAAGGACAAAATTAGCCTTGTAACTTCATTCAATCAGAAAACAGCCGAGCAAACTGGCCTGGTTTGGTCTGCCTCTCTTATGTGTATGTTACTCTCCCTCTCTTCTGAGAGAGATGTCAAACTGAGCTTGTGATTCCTTCATTTTATTCAAAAAAACTCCTCTTATCATCCAATTCCCATTTTCCAGATATGTTTAGAAGATGTGACTGTATTCTCATACTTAAAACACTTACTAGGACTTAAAAATAGACAAAGAGAATTAAAATTTAGGCTCGAGTTTGACTTAATAAAGAACTAAAAATAGACAAAGAGAATTAAAATTTAGGCTCGAGTTTGACTTAATAAAGAACTTGGGATTACAAAAATGGTATTAACAGAATCTACAGAAAGGAGTAAGGCCCTATCTTTCTTTAATTGTTGTTGTTCACAAAGCCTATACAGAATCTAAGTGAACTTTCATCAACTCAGAATAATAATCAAAAGCCTAGGTACACAGACAAATTTATATATAACTTAGAGTAGTTTCTGGGATTCCTAAAACTTATCCAAATACTTAGCTTAAGACTGGTTTTTTTTTTTTTTGTAGAAGCTGTCCTCATCCACAGTTTCTGCTGTAATTCCTCCCATCTTGAGTACAGCCTCATATACTGGCATGCTTTCATATGCAGTTCTATCTGTGGTATTCTTTCCTTTCAACCAGATGAGGCAGTAAATTCCCTAAGAGTAGGTACCAAACCTTGTAATTTTGTTAATCCTAAAAACTTTGGGAAAGAGCTGTGACAAATGTTTCTGATGACAGTTATCTTTAATATAATTCCATTAAATTAAGGTAGAAAAACTGTGTTGTAGAGGATAAGAAGACAGAATTTACATCAGGGGTTAGTCCCCCATTTTCAGAATTACATGGAATAGAACTTTATTCCAAAAAAATATGGACAAAAACACTGCCCTGGGTCAGGGTTGACAAACATTTTCTGTAAATGGCCAAAACATAAGTATTTTCAATCCTGTGGGCTCTATGGTCTCTGACACAACTGCTCGATTCTGTTCTTACGATGGGAACTACTGATAAAAAATATGTAGTACATAAACAAATAGATGTGGCTATGTTCCAACAGAACTTTATTGACCAAAACAGTTAGGACTTATCAGTCATAGTCTGCCAATTTCCTGCCTTAGATTAATGACTATGAGAAACACTTCAAACAAAAAGTTCCTACAGACTAACTAAAGACAATATAATCCACAAAAAAAAAAAAAAAGGGCAAAGAAGATAAGCAAGCAATTCATAGATACTAGGAACATAAATAGCCAATGTAAATGTCAACCTCACAAGACATATTAAATGTCAGAAAAATGTGCCATTAGTGGTAATATGTCTTTTCCAGAACATTTTTAAAGGCTTTATTTAACTAATACAAATTTCCAAATATAATATACCTTCCACAGTAAGTTTTTGTGCTCCCTTTTAAAGCAAAATTGGGGGGCAAAGTTACATTTTATTATCTTCAATTCTCCCATTCTCTCTGAAAGTCAACTTCAAATAGGCTTTCAACTCCACTGCCCCTTGTCAAGGTGACAAATGATCTCCAGGTCATTAAATACTCTCTTCCACCTTAACTGAACAAACAGCAGCATTTGATACATAAATATAGCTAGTTATTCCTTCCTTCTCAGAACATTCTTTACTTGACTTACTAAGACAACAAAATCTCCTAATTTTCTTTCTAGCTGAAGCTCTTTCTTGGTACTCTTTGCTGGTTCTTCCTCATCTCATCAACCTCTAATCACTGGTCTACAAACAGCTCAGTTCTTGGACCTCCTCTCACTCACTTATACTCACTCTGAGATGATTTCAGCTCTCACTCGACATCAACTAATGTCTACATGGTCATATAGACATTATCTATGTGTGCATGCTTAGTCATGTCCAAATCTCTGAGACCCCAGGAAGTGCAGTACGCCATGCTCCTCTGTCCATGGAATTTTCCAATCAAGAATAATGAAGTGGGTTGCCATTTCCTACTCCAGCTATATATGGTAATCTATCTACTCCTAATTATTCCTAGACAGTCCAAGCCTCTGCCCTAAAATCCAGATATATACCTAACATGGGCAACAACAGCCATCTGAAGCTGATCTTCCTCTCACATTTCCCTTTCCAAAATTTGTTTTATCTTTGATCTTCCTAAACTTCTTGATAGAAAAATCTGCAACTTCCACACCAATGTATAGGAATACAAGGTTCCATAAAGAAAATCCAAATAGGTAAGACAGTTGAATATTAATGGACTGAGATAATAAAGAATTTTAGCTGAACACAGTAAACAGTGAAAACAAATTACCAATAATTTTAATTGTCTAAACCATGGCAATTCTATCACTTTCCCTAAAGCAAAATTAGACAGAAACCTTAAATTCTATTCCCATGCAATTATCCTGATTAGCATTTATGATCACTTAATGTATCTCATAAATAAATTAGGATGAGATTAATTTATAAATAAATTAAATGAAGATGAGATGGTGGATGGCATCAGCGACTCAATGGACCTGAGTTTGAGTAAGCTCCGGGAGTTGGTGATGGACAGGGAAGCCTGGCGGGCTGCAGTCCATGGGGTTGCAAAGAGTTGGACATGACTGACTGACTGACTGAACTGAACTGAATTTATCTTAAGGATTCAATGAAAAGGGAAAAACAAATCAATCATATATTTTTAAAATCTGAAGTAATATCTGGAAGGAAATTATGTCAGAACTTATTATAAAATCTTATTTACTCTAAAACAGATTATTCTCCTCAAAAATATTAAGAAATAACAATGTTTAAAGAATTTTAAAAAGCCAAGTAGTCAGAAGAGCTCTCCCTTTCATTTCTCCATAAGAAACAGAATGACAATGGCAAAAATGGGAGGAAAAATCTAAGAATGCAGTAGCTTGAAAACTAAGGAGAACCTCAAGAGGGAGGGATTGTTATTAAGAGATCATTTAAGTATGAGAATAAAATAAGCATTGAAACAAGTATACTATCGGATCACCAGCCCAGGCTGGATGCATGAAAGTGGTCAGGGCTGGTACACTGGGAAGACCCAGAGGGATGGGATGCAGAGGGAGGGAGGAGGGGGGATCGGGATGGGGAACACACGTAAATCCATGGCTGATTCATGTCAATGTATGGCAAAAACCACTACAATATTTTAAAGTAATTAGCTTCCAACAAATAAAAATAAATGGAAAAAATAATAATAAAAAAAATAAAAATTAAAAAAAGGATGCCCCTGGATTTAACAACAGGAGCATCAATGTCACTCCACTGAGAACAATTAGGTAGGAGGCTGACAACGTGGAAATCGCAATTCAATTAAGTTAGAGAGTAAACAGGAAGAGATGAAACTGTGCTAGCATTGTTAACATAACTTAAAGAGTGGCACTGAAAGACAGGAAAGATGAACAGTAGCTAGAGGAGAGTACAGTATGCAAGATACAACTAATGTGTATACCTCCTCTAGTGTTGCTGTAATGTTCCCAGAGAGAAACTTTTCTTTTCCAAGCCTTTTTACAGACTATGATTTTAAATATTTAGTATCAGTTATTACACAGCAGGAGTAGCTGCAATCATTTGTTAGGTTTTTCTATCTTTGTAAACCTGAAATAGCTTTTCTATTTGTTTCCTGATATCATTCATTATTTTTTATTGATGCTAATACACATCAAAACTGCTACATTTAAAACAAATTTGCTTAAGAAGTGTCTGAAATAGTAAGAGTTTTATGTTTTCCTACTAGTACAGCACATAAGCATTAGTACTTAGCGGGAAAAGCCAGATTTACAATTCTGTGTTCTGAAAATACTAAAAATTAGTCAAGAATAAAGAATCTGAAGAAAGTAATACCTCGACAGATGAACAGCAACAAATATGACATGAAACAGATTCTACCACCACATAAAAAGAACAAAGAACAGTTAAGAAACTATACTTTTAATCTACAATAACAAAATTTCCTCTGGAACCGGGGACAGAAAATAAAAGTTCAGTTACCAGCTAAGAAATTAAATCGATTACTAAACTTACTCTGTTAACAGCATACAACCAAATAAAAGTCTAAAAGTAAGTAACCAAAAATAAACCCAACTCTGAATTTTCAAAGTATGCAATAGGGGTAGCTTAATATTCATCTTGCTGCATTTAACAGCACTGTGTGGGAGGGATAGTCTCCAATATCCTAGATTCTGGAATAAAGGTAAAACGTATAAACCCATTAAAGCTTCAATTTGCTCTAACTTTCTTATATTCACTACCAAAAGATATTTTTAATACTACTCTCTCTATACTTACTGAGAAATGAGTGAAGTTCACCCTAAACACTGTTACTTATTATCTTTCCAAAATGTAAATTTGATCATGTTATTCTCCTCTCCTTGAACTCATTCAATGGTTCCCCAGTGCTAGTATGTTTCAGCATTACAAGCAAGGTTCTCCATGACACACTTTTCTTTACATTACTTAAAATATTCTTATATTTCTTATATTACGAATTACTTAATTCCACATTTACTGAGCACTAACTGTGACCCAAGCATTATTTTGGCCTGATTATGATGGCTCAGAGCAGAAGTGATAGCAGTGAAGATGACGAGAAGAGACAACATTCTAGATCTATTCTGCAGGTAGCAACAACAGGATTTCCTGACAGACTGGATATGGAACATGAACCAAACAAAAAAAGAATCGTTCCAAGATCTTTCACCTGAGCAAGCAGGATGGAGTTGCAATTAAGAGGGATTATCTTCATTAAAACTCTATGTTACACAAATAGTGAAAGGAAAGTGCTTCCCTGAAACATCTATATCTCATAAAGTTACTCTCCTCTAAACTCCCAGCCTACCAATTTAACATTATTACTGTATTCACAACCTTGTATTTAATGGCCTGTGGTTTAATTCTTAACAGAATCCTCAGGGCAAGTAATAAATTTTACCTTTAAATCCCCAAGCCAAGAAGAAACTGGCCTTTCTATATATACAGTTTTAATAAATGAATGAATGCTCTTTGGAAATGAAGTCATCTTTAATAAGGGAAAAGTTTCTATCTCCAAAAGAAATGTAGGTATGATATATTGGAGTGGGGTGGGGGAATCCTGTGTGTTGCCTTTTTTTTTTCTTCAAACAAACTAAAACCAAATGCTGTGTTTCTTGTTACTCCATTCACAGGGTTCTAAGGCTAAGACAATTGCGACACAATGGAAACATAAAGGTACTCATGCCAGTCTGAAAGTAATTGAGAAAGTTTCACATGGGAATGATGCTTGAGTTCCACCATGAAAGCAAAGTAGGATTCTCTCATTCTCCCTTTTTCACTAGCAATAATAAAAGAGATGGGAAAGACAAGCATTGACCAAATCATGAAGTTTATACAGTTTTATATAAGGAGTCTGAAATAATTCTTAAAGTAATAGGGAATCTAACCAAAGAGAGGAACATAATCAAATAACAGAGATTTAAGTTATTAAGAGATCATTTAGAAAATGAGTCAAACATTAGGTAGAATCTAGAATGCTTAGAAAGCAAATGGATAGTCTTTATCAAACATATAATTAGGCCTCCAGGTTTCTGAATTCCAGCAATGGTGGTATCATTCCCTGGACAAAGAATATTAAAAGAATCAGATTTCAATTGGAAAACTGTAAAATGAAATTTGTTACACTTGAAGAAAATAAATTAAACCAGTAGGCCTTTATAACAGATTCAAAGTTATTTGGTTGGTAAGTGACAGCAAGGACAACTTTTAGAATTTTGATTAATTATGTACTGGAAATTGTTACATCACAGTGTTATATTGGTCCATCTTATCTCTATTCCCAGTCTACAAGCTCCTTACAGGCAAGTGTAATATTTTCTACGTTTTTTATCTCCCTTCTCAGCACTTTACACAATGCTGCTCTCAGAGTGCATCTTTGTTAATTCTGAATTCTGCGAAGTTAAGAACCTGTCAAGTTAAGAGTATTCTAGTCACCATCATTCTCAACTTCCTCTGTAACTAAAAGAAACTTAAAACTTTATGAGAATGTTTTACTAAGCAGTTTATTAAAGCTAATCAAAATCTTTAAAATTTAAATAATATGCTAACCTGGAGAGCATGTCTCATTTTGTGATGTAACTTCAGACTCATCCTTTTCACCCGAAATATCCTCTTCATCAGAGAGGACCAAAAAGGCTTCTTTTGGCAAGCTCTCACTACTTTCTTGTTTAGATGGTGAACCAAAAGAACCTTCCATCTTTTCTTCCAAATCTGGACTTGAGTCATCAATTGGAAGGAGAGAAGCTTTAGAAAAGCAAGTGAGTTCATCTTCAGCAGGTGCAAGCTTTTCCAAAATAGGAATGATTTCATCAGTCTCCATAGAATCTGTATTTTCTAGGATATTGTCATTTTTGTCATCCTTTATAACATCTTCACGAATGGTTTCTATAAGGTCTGCAGAATTTTCTTCTTCCTTCTTTTCGCTTTGGTCAATCTCCACACTGCTAGATATAGCCTCCTCTCCAACGGCAGATTCTGTGATTGCATCTTCTTCTAACTTCTTTTCAGGAGACAGATCTGAACAAATAATTGCATCATCTGTTTCGAGAGCTTCTGCATCAGCATCACTATTACTATCAGCTTTATTTTTCTCATCAAATGAGAAAATTTGATCTAACTTTTCATTGTCTCTATTTTGTTGAAGAAGATCATCACCTTTATTGCTACTGGGCTGTGTACTATCAGTTTCAGGAACTGGTTCACAGGCTGGTACCGAACTTGGGTCAAAGGTGGGGTCAAAGGCTGTTTCAGAAGTTGGTTCATCAGAAGTTGGTTCACCAGAGGCTGGATTACCAGAGGCTGAATCACCAAAAGCTGGATCACTAGAAGTCAGATCACCAGAGCCTGGATCATCAGGGGCCAGTGATTCAGAGGCAAGATCACCAGAGGCCGGATCATCACACGCTGAATCACTGGAGACTGGTTCAGTGGAGACCGACTCACCAGGAACTGGTTCACTGGAGACCAGTTCATTAGAAACTGGCTCACTGGAGACCAGTTCACTGGAGCCTATTCCACCAGAGGCAAGATCGCCAGAGATAGGGTCACCAGAAGCAGGATCACCAGAGGTTAATGCTTCAGAGGCCAGGTCTCCAGAGACAGAATCTCCAGACTCCAGACCTCCAGTAGCCAGATCAGAAGCTGAATCACCAGAAGATGGTTCAGTAGCCAGTTTAGGGGCTAGATCTGGACTTACATTATTTGCAGACAAAGGTTCACACTTTAAGTCATCATCCTGCTTGCTTTTTACATGAACATTTAAGGTACAGGGTGTTTCTTTCCATTCTGCTTTACTTTTCTCAGGGTCATAACAAAGATCCTCAATGCCATTCACCTCTTCCTTGTCATTAAGATAGTCCATATTTTCCAAAGGTGAGGTTGGGTCCAAATCTCCATTTTCATGGTTGCCATTTAACAGCTTGACATCAGTTTTCAACAGCTCTTCCTTGACCTTGTACACTGCTTCCAGTTGCTGACGATCACTCACTCTCATTGTTTTTCGAGCCTTAAAGACTTTTCTTTGAGGTTCTTCTATACTATCCATTTTGAATCTTTAAAAAAAAGAAAGAAAAAGAAAGAGTTTAACACTTGAAACCAAAACCACCTAATTATAGACTTATTATGAATTGATCTTAGAAGCAAGCACCACTTTATATAATTTTAAAGTATTTATAGAAAGCATAATTATCTATGCTAACTTAAAGCATAACATACATAATGCTGTGTATTAATTTTTATATCTATTGAATTTATATAACATAAAATTGATAATAGGTAAAGTTCGTAAGAGATCAATTACTAGGCAATGTTAGGGGGAAAGTGACTAATTCCTAGTTTTCATTCTCAGTAAGCTAATGGATTCACAGAGTATGGAGGAGAGAGTGTTAAAAAAGTACATGAAGTAAAAAAGTAGTTGTCATAGGAAAAATAAGAGAATGAAAGCAGTAGAGGAATGAGGAGAGGTATAGAGATAGGGGAAAAAAGAAAGGAGAATTAAGGAACATAAAGAAATATTACATTTGCAACCAGAAATATCTAAATAACTGTTAACATATTAATAACACATTACTATCTAGAAAGTGAAAAACAACTCACAATAGAAGAAAATACAGTTGACCCTTGAACAAATGTGGTTTGAACTTTAGGGGTCCTCTTAAACTTGGAATTTTTTTTGATAAATACATACTACACTACTACCTGACCCACGGTTGGTTGAATCTGCAGGTACAAAGGGCTAACTATAAAGTTACACGAGGATTTTCAACTGTACAGGGGTTCAGCACCCCTAGTCCCTACATTTTTCAAGGGTCAACTGTATTTGCAAATTATATATTTGCAAATAATATATCCAGTAAGAGATTTACATCTGGAAAATGTAAAATACTTTTGCAATTGAAAAATAACAACAAAAACAAACAACTTAAAAATGGGCAACAGACTTGAACAAACATTTCTCTAAAAGATACAAAAAAAGACAATAAGCATTGAACATAAACAGATGCTTCACATCATTTAGTCATCAGAGAGATGCAAATCAAAACCAAAATGAGGTAACACCTCACACACACCAGGATGGCTATTATCAAAAGAAATAATAGGTGTTGGTAAGAATGTGAGCAAATTGAAACTCTCATATGATGGCAATGGGATTGCAAAATGGTACAGCTGCTTTGGAAAAATAGTCTGGCAGTTCCACAATATGCTAAATATTAAGCATTAAATTTAATCTTTCCTCTTTTTTATAATGTATTCATGTAAAGCTATAAATTTCCCTCTAAGCGCTGCTTTAGCTGCATCTCATATTTTAATGTGTCATATTTTTCACTGTTCTATTAAAATATTTTCTAATTTCCATTGTGATTTCTTCTTTCATCTGTGAGTTATTTAAAAGTATATTTCTTTAAAAGGTAGTAACACACAACTATGTCAATAAGCTATTTAAAATATATAGAGTCGATTTCATTAATAAAAAAATCAAGCAGTGTAGATTTACAAGTTAAGTTGCTAAGCATTGCAGATTTTAGGCCTAACGAAGATGTCCACTTGAAAAAAATAAATTAGCACCCTAAGACATAATTTCTCAAATTGTAACCTTATTTGAATAGGAGTCTTTGCAGAGATAATAAAGTTAAAATAAGGTCATCAGGGTGGGTCCTAATTCCATATGATGAGTGCACTTATTAAAAGGGAAAAATTTGGATACAGACACATACACATGAGAACACTGTGTGGTAACTGGAGTTAGTCAGTCACAAGCCATAGCTAGGAGAGAAATATGGAACAGATCCTTCCTGAGCTTCATCAGTGAGGGCATGGCCCCCTCAACACCTTAATTTCAGACTTCTAACTGCCAGAAATGTAAGACAATACATTTCTGTTATTTAAGAAAAAAAATTTTTCTTTTTCAAGCAATGTGATTCACCACATAAACAGAAGGTAAAAATAAACAACAGATCATCTCAACACAGAATATTCATTCTACAAAATTCAAAACTGAGTCATAATTAAGCTTTCAGAAATCTAATAAAAGTAAACAACTAAAATCTAATACAGGTTATCTACAAAAGCAAATTGCAAATATCATACTTAATGGTAAAATAAGATCAGAACTAAGATAAGGATGTTCTCTATCAATGTTTCTGTGTTAACATCTGGCCAGTTCAGATTTGGTCCTAGAGAAAGACAATGATGCCACTCTGCAGTGGAATAAAACAAACATCCTTTTATGGACTAAGATACACAGGAATCATGAATATTGCTTTAATATCACCATTACCAGTATGAATGATGCTAGGATATACTTGCTTGGAAAAGGAAAAAAAGCAGCTCTGAAATCTAGGAATTTAAGGTTCAAAGCTCAGTGTTATTAAAAATTGACCTGATGCTTATAGCTAAGCCATGTTGGACATAAACTCAGCATTTAAATTAGACAAGGTCACTGTGCAACCCAGCAACCCATAAATTACTAAATATCTCCCCCTCTGACTAAATAAGTGATGGTTACACTTTTTTTTTAATCACTTGTAGTTTTATCCTCACTGTAGTTTGTCTTCCTTATAGATAACAGTTACTGAGATAGTTATTGAGCACAGAATTGCTCCCTCCCCGCCATTCTGATAGTACCTAATCCAGAGTAAGGCTCTCCTGCCTCAAACCCTCCCCACAAAACCCAATCTATACTATAAATAAATCCTTTACCAGGTTTTTTTTCTAATATCCTCCTACTGATATGCCTCAATTTCCCCTGTGGTGAGCATTCTCTCTCACTGCAACAAAAAATAAACCCAACTTCTCAGCTACAGGTATGTTCCTGATACTCCATCATTCCTCTAGCTGAAAGGCACAAAACTATGGCCCAGCCTATTTGCTGGAGGCCAATAAAGCTTGAGAACCAACCATTTTGTCATAGCACTTTTAGATTGCAGTATAAAATCTGCATTCATACTCTTACTGTAAGCCAACTACTTATATGTCTTAGTCTTCCTGGATTTTTAAGTTACAGAGCTGAGTAAAACTATTTACAAAAATTACCTTAAAACGAGAAGAAACATCAAAGCAAAATTATCATAGCACTATTTTTAAGGACTATTAAATGCAGCTACAATTTAAACTTCAAAATTTTTCCCACCTACAATCCATTTTAAACTCACACTTATTGAAAAATGTTCTGCAAAGAAGATACAATGCAAGTTTTGTAGACATTTTCCTTGCTGACTCCAAGCATAAAAATGACTAAATTTATAGTACTAGGAGTGTGGTTACCCTTTAAATATTTTCAAATACTGAACTGCAATTCTTCTGGATTTTGACATTGTAACAGCCACATTTCTCAGCCGTTACACACATAACTGGTTGCTGTTGCCAGATGCATTAAAAACAAACATTCCTCTTTTTATAAAAGCGTATTTTCATAATTTTTAGTAATTCCAGTAAGAACATGAATTCTGCCAACAGAAACATGTGCTTGATTTCTAACTCTCCCATGTACTTACTATGTGACACAGGGCAAGTTACCTAGCATTTCAATGTTTAATATCAGCCACCTTAAAAAGGGAATATCAGTACCTGACAGAGGTTGCAGTAATGATTATGAGATTCTATACATTAAGTGTTTGGAAGGCAGTTAGCACTCAACAAATGTTATTGTAATTGTCTATATATATTCAGGATGTTTTCAGGCATACAGAATCTGAAACAAGTTTCTCTTAAATATTTTTGGTAGTTTGTATATGATTTAGAAAGTCTACCATGCACACATCATGTTCAATGTTAACTGCCACCAAGTAACATTTAATAAAAATAAATGTTATCAAAGCAAGCTGGTTTTATCAACAAAATTGCCATCAACACAGTAAAATAAAAGACTATACAAAGAATTACAGAATAACTACCATCTGTACCCACAAGGGCGCACACTACAGCCATTTACAAGATCTTTTAAGGGTTCTAAGTAAATATAATGAATAACAAAGCAAGAAGGAAGTATCATGAACAACCAGTTCAAACTAGTTCAGCCATATCTATGCAAACCAATCAGCAGTAAGTTTTTGAAAATCTATTTTGCATAAATAATGTATATTTAAGACAAACACAGGAGAGAAGGGTGTGTTACCTGCACACAAGTCTCCATTACTATATGACTGGAACAAAACATTTCTAAAGATCATTTTAAATATCATCATCTGGAACTGACATATCGTTCACAAAACTATACTACAAAAGAAATACTACATTTTTAGGCAGCAACACTACAGTCATGAAGCTCTCACAGGATTGTAATTTATTTTCATAGGAAAAGCACTTATATTTTACAGCAGAAAGTGTCTGCCATATCTAGAAGTAAATGTGTAAAATGTAATGAACTACTTTCTCCTCAAAACATTTTTCATAAGGAAGATAGTAAGAAAAAAATGCTTTAAGTCCTTACTTTAATGTTCAGATTCAAGAACTGTAGGGAAATATCACCACTTAAAAAAAAAAAATCTTTTTCTACAGTATTAACAAGAATTTCACCTTTACTAAAGAAATTTATATTTAAATAACCAAGAAGGGTGTGTTACCTGCAAATAAGTCTCTATGGCTTGGAATTTTTTTTTTTTTTTCAAATTTTGGGTAAATTATTTTTAAGGAAAGCCCAATAAGCCTCTTCTTCAGTGAAAGCATTATTTTCTTCTCTGCTTCATCCCCCTCCACCCATTCCTTTCACACTCTTCTTTCTAGCAAAGAGATTATAGCTATGAAACAACAAAGAGAAGTATTACCAAAAGCTGTAATGTCTTAGCCTACAATCTGCCTGCTCAAAAAGCTTAAGAATTTAAGTGGCTGTTCAAGAGCTGCTCACAAACTCAGCCAATCAGCAGCCAGCATTCTGATTCCTGCCCAGCAACAGGAGACAGACAATAAGGTCAGAAAAACATAGTTAAAACCTGGATTCGCAACACTTCAGTGAGGTTCTTTGTCTGATAAAAGTAATCTAGAACATAATTGCATAAAATTCTAAACCTATAATATGGACAAAATATACCACATAAATAAAATAGGATA